ACTTAGTACACGTCGGTGAGACAATGACTTAAACACGTAAAGATATACTTAAAGAGGCAAATTAACTTCTTAATTGCTTAAGTATTTGGACTTATCATCCAGACGTTTGCCACATTTTTTTTTCAGCAATTGTTCTTTAACAATTTGAATTGTGTGTGTCTGAATGGGTGAAACTCAATTATGAAACATGTTTTATCATTCTTTATACCATGTCTTCGAACGTCTTATATGTCGTATAATGAATATAAATATAAGTAAAAAGAACCCACCAAAGATTCCAGGCTTATAATTTGTACGACAGACGGCCGGTTTGTCTTTTAAACTTTTAAAACTTTTAGACTCATCAGTGACGCTCGAATCCAAAAAGTTGATCTCCCGACGACGCCTCTGATATCAGGTTGTATGCGAATAAGAACTTCTAGATATCAACGTATCTAGGCTATCAGTCTACATTGTCCCCACAATATCATTAATTTCTAGTACGCTCTGGCAAAACTATTAGTAAGCCAGGAATATGGCAATTGTTTTCAAATAGTCCGTTTCTATGTATGTTGGCGTTTGTTTTTGTACCACTTCAGTGTTTCTGTTGTTCCGTTGTGTTTCTCTCATAGTTGATGTGTTTCCCTCGGTTCTGGTTTGTTACCCGGATTTGTTTTCGCTTAATCGATTTATGACTATTGAACAGCGTTATACTATTATTGCCTTTATTTATGTTATAAGCTAGAGCCTGGGATTTTACTTAAAATTTTTGAAAGGTTAGATTCTATTTTGAATTCATAAAGCAAATGCAGTAAACAAAAGGGGAGAATATTTAAAGTCGTGTCAGATTTTCTGTATCTATTATATAGAAATAAGAAGATGTGGTATGAGTGAGAAAGTCATAATGTGTAAAACGTAAACAATTATAGGTCAAAGTATGGCCTTCAACACAGAGCCTTGGCTCACACCGAACAGCAAGCTATAAAGGGCCCCACAATGACTAGTGTAAAACAATTCAATCAGGAAAACCAACGGTCCAATCTATATAAACTAGAAAAATTCGTAAGGGTTCCGCGGAACCCAGTGTCTCGCTTACTTTTGCTGTTAATCGCAGGCTCAACAAAAATGAGGAAAAAAATTAATAAAAATATTCCTCTCTATACTATCTTTTGATTGTAAGTAGCTTCTGTCAAAGTTTGGTAAAAATCCAGGATGGTTTATGAATCTAATAAATGTTTTAAAAAATTAAAGTACAGACTGTATGTAATGTTAACTGGAAGAAAAACTAAGTCCATTTATAAGTAAAATACGTAAAAAATGGATTTTTTTTTTTACTTTTTTACAAAATTTACTTCTGGATACTATCTTTTGATCATAAACAAGCTTCTTTCCAAGTTTGGTAGAAATCCAGGATAGTTTAAGAAAGTTATTAAAATTTCAAAAACTTTAACTACAGAGTGAATGTAATGTTTCATGGCAGAAAAACTAAGTCCATTTATAAGTAAAATACGGAAAAAATGGAATTTTTTTTTTACAAAATTTACTTTTGAATATTATCTTATGATCATAAACAAGCTTCTGTCCAAGTTTGGTAGAAATCCAGGATAGTTTAAGAAAGTTATTAAAATTTCAAAAACTTTAACCACAGAGTGAATATTTGTGGACGCCGCCGACGACAACGACGACGACGACGACGACGCCGACGGAATGTAGGATCGCTATGTCTCGCTTTTTCGACAAAAGTGGAAGGCTCGACAAAAACGAGAAACGAGAAACACTTATGAACCACATCTACAAACGACAACCACTGAACAACAGGTTCCTGACTTAGGATAGGTGCAAACAAATGCAGCGGGTTTAAACGTTTTAACAAGCGCCAACCTTCAACCTAACCTGAAATAGCAGTGTACAGTTTACAGATATTAGTCACTTTACTTGGCATAGGAAACAGCTAGGAAAGCCCATGATGCATGAAGATATTGTGAGATTAAATGGCTAACAAGAAAGCTCAATACCATCTTAAGTCAAATTTGATGGGAAGGTTTTATTTTTTGTAAATTTTAAGCAATATTGATGAATCATGAGGCATTCAAATTCACGACAAAAAGTAGTAACAAAAATACCGAACTCCAGGTAAATTCACAAGAGTAAGTCTATAAAAACTGACAAAATCAATGCCAGACCGACTATTCATGGTTGAAAGCCGTACGGTGACCTATAGTTGTTAATTGCTGTGTCATTTGGCCTCTTGTGAAGGGTTGTCTCATTGGCCATCATACCACATATATTTTTTTATATAAATCAACCAAAAGAACGAATGGAAAACAAATTTCATATTCCTGACTTGGTACAGGCATTTCCCGAAGGGACTGGTGGGTTAAACCAGGCTGGATTTATAACTAGCTTAACCTCCCTTGTATGACAGTTGTTTATACTTCCGTTATATTGTCAAAATTAGTAGGTGAGCTTTGATATTTATGAACAGACATTTCATAAATATCCTTGAAAATATTGAAAGATAGGCTCAATGCATATAATTCCTCGCACTAGAACTGGTCAAAGCTAGTGATGACAAATAAAAAGTCAAGGTCATATTTGGGTTACTTTGTGTGTAAGCCAGTCCTTATATTTATTTAACTAGCATCCTAAAACTGTTTTTTTTTCTTCACTAAACACAAAACGATGCAGTTTGATTTTTTCTAGTATTTGGCTAATTTTATTAAAGTTGACGTTTCTCACGAGTGGTTGATGCTTCCTATCTAGAAAATTACCAACAAAAAACAACCGACCAAAAGTCTATATGCTTGAATTTCGTTAGTCCGTTTGAGTAAATATAAAATGTTTATGTTTATGTAAATATTTTATCTTAATATTATTCAGTGAATTTCTGAAGTTTTTAGATGAAGATAGTACAAGTGATAATAAAAATAAATTCAGTTGCACGATAGTTTATGCACTTCCAATAGAAATGATTACTCAGAGACGTGTATAAATATATACATGTGTATATCACATGTATGTCTCTGGATGACTATAATCACATGTGCCAAAAGCCCATTATCTATAGCTCGGAGCAAGCTAGAGAATACAAAAATAATAGTTATTAGAGGCGAAAGACACCAAAGTGACTTCAAACTCATAGGTCGAAAATAAACTGATAACGCCATGGCAAAAAAAGAAAATTACCAACAGACAAAAATGTTAAAAAAGAAAAACAAAATTTGGTCAGCTATATGATTTGAAGAGGTCCTGGCATTAATATTAGCATTAAAAAATTACTGCAGCTGCTACACAAACTTTATAAAACGTCACCAGTAGTGTCTGAGCAGAAAGTTGATGAACCAAAGATATGTCAAAAAAGTAAATATACCAAGACCTTGTTGATAAATATTCCGTATCAACTTCGCAAATATTACATGATGGTCTTGAAGAAGATTCTACATACTGACGTTGTTGATCATCTTAATTACGTGTTATACTGTTCTTTTATTTGTCTTTGTAATTTATTAACCTTTACTGTTTAGTCCATTTTTGGTAATATCCTTTTTGCGGGACTTACGCCTCCCTCCGATGTGTTGTTGTGCTGTGGTAATGTTTTGTATTCTTGTCTTTCATTTTTGCTTATGTGCTTTGTCTATAAGCCATTTTGTTTTTCTTTGTTGACATATTTGTTTGTTTTTGTAGCTATTAAGATTATAACACAATGTTGACTGCTGTAGCCCTATTTTTGACATTTTTAGCTATTATGTCTGTTTGAGCTTTTGATTTTGCCATTTGACAAGGGACTTTCCGAATTCAATTTTCCTTGCAGTTCGGTATTTTTGTGATTTTACTTTTTTCTTTTATGGCTTAATACTCCGTAGTTGGGCTGTAAAGTTTGGTAGGGATTTTCAAGAGAGATCAGGTTGTCACATACATAACTGGAAAGTAAAAAGTGTAAATATTCCAGCAAACAGTTGCATCATGACATCTTTGACGTGCTTTTTGGAGTTAAGGGAGCATAACATATGGGCCTGAAGATAACTCGTCAATAACTAGTGTTAACAATTAATTTGAACAGTTATATATGAATACTAATTTCCTGATAAATTGTATTTTTTCACATTGATCCAAAGAAGAGTACGGCACAGAGTGATAGTGTATATGGAGCTAAGCCTTTGACGGTATTTACATTTTTTATCAGAAATTCTCCTCGCCAAGAGTTAGGAAAGTCCATGATGTATAAATATTGGAAGACAAAATTGGCTTACAAGAATAACAAAACCTCTAAAGTCTAAGGAAAAATTTCAGATAACCTTTTTTTTTTGTACAATTGTATGTATTAGGGAATGAATCATGTGAATCAATAAATCATGTGGCAATTAATTCATGGATAGTGAATTAACAAACATCTGTATCATAAATCCTCGCAAATATTGATTGGTTGATTGGTTGGTTGGTGTTTAGCGCAACTTTCAGCACTGTTGGTTGTATCATGGCGGACATTTTTTATTGGTGGAGGAAGACGGAATGCCCCTAGAGAACAAACTACCTTTGGTAGGATAACTGAAAATCCTAGTGAATTAGGATTGGAATGCACCTGCCACATACTGAACTCACAACCTCACTGTTGACCGGCTAGTGCTTCAGTAGTTGGACTTCATAGACCACTTGGCCACCGAGGCCCCTGCAAATATTAAAACATCGACTACAGGGCAGACAATTATTTCTTGAACTTACTATCTACTGAGCTGTAACTGGTATATTTGAACATTGGTAAATTTCAGTTGCCTTAATCATAGTCCAGTGATTGCAAACAAAAGTTAAAGGCATCACTGAGGTCAGACAATGTGCAAACCAGTCATTATATTAATGGGGTATTACTAAAAAGTGTGCAGGGTGATAATGTATATAGAGCTACACCCCTTAAGTATGTATTTTTTTCATTAATACTGGTACCTCAAAGGTATAAGTTAAGGGCTGGATGGGGAATACAGATCCAATAGGTTGGAAAAGTCAGAGAAACATAAAACAAACCATAATTTTCTTTTCGTTTTTATTGAGATAATGGTCCTCCAAAGCACCAATTATAATAACTTTCATGACATATATAATAAATTGATGGATTTTCACTAAGCTTTAACAAGGTGCATTACAAGTGCTATTTTCCCTAATTTGAATAAAATTTGTATTTTTATTTTTAAAGGTGTCTATTTATATCTTATACAACTTTAAGACAGTGCTCATAAAACAAGTGTTTGTATAAAATCTACTGTTCAATTTGGAAAATGTACAAAATACAAAATGATTTGAAAAAGTAACAAGAGTGCACACGCTGAAATGTCTCGCCTTCTTTACTAATCATTGATATTATGTTGATAGTCCTAAATATAAAGCTTTACTACAACTATCACATACACTTAACATGATCCAAGAAAATGAGGTCAAGGTCATATAAACCAAACAAGAAATACATGTACACCTTACAATCATTCAATACACTAAATATAGTTGACCTATTGTTTATAGTTTCTAAGATACAGACTTAACCAAGAAAACTAAACATTGACAAATGAACCATGAAAATGAGGTCAAGGTCAGTTGAACAATGCCAGGCAGACATGTACAGCTTGCAATCCTTCCATACAACAAATATATTTGACCTATTGCTTATAGTATTAGAAAAACAGACCAAAACACAAAAACTTAACACTGAGCAATGAACCGTGAAAATGAGGTCAAGGTCAAATAAATCCTGCAAGACTGACATGTACATCATAAAGTATTTCCATACACCAAATATAGATGACCTATTGCAAATAGTATTAAAGAAAAGACCAAAACTCAAAAACTTAACTTTGACCACTGAACCATGAAAATGAGGTCAAGATCAGAAGACACCTGCCAGCTAGACATGTACACCTTACAATCATTCCATACACCAAATAAAGTAGACCTATTGCATACAGTATAACCTTGTTCACTGATCCATGTCACGAGGTCGAGGTCAAGTGAAAACTGTCTGACGGGCATGAGGACCTTGCAAGGTACGCACATACCAAATATAGTTATCCTATTACTCATAATAAGAGAGAAATTAACATTACAAAAAAAAACACTTTTTTTTCAAGTAGTCACTGAACCATGAAAATGAGGTCAAGGACAATGGACATGTGACAGATGGAAACTTCGTAACATGAGGCATTCATATACAAAGTATGAAGCATCCAGGTCTTCCACCTTCTAAAATATAAAGCTTTTAAGAAGTTAGCTAACGCCGCCGCCGGATCACTATCCCTATGTTGAGCTTTCTGCGACAAAAGTCGAAGGCTCAACAAAAATTATTCAGCTACTAAACTGATCAGAATTTTACAACCAAACAGAAAATCTGTAAAGTTATAAGTTTTCATATATATTAAAAACTACACACATACTGAAAATTGCATTTTTAATCCTGAATTCATCATAATTTAAACTAATTAAGGATGTTCGCTCCCCTTGTTTTTGAATTTTTGCCAGATATTCAGTTTATTCGTGTAGTGCCATTAAATATTTTGCCCGCAAACCCCTACTTTTCTTTCCATAATTTTTTTATATATAATTCAAAAAGCTATATTTGAAATATCCTTGTTATTTTTTCATAGTTTTTAAAAGAAAAAAGGTGCCAATGTTAAATGTATGACAAAATCTAGTGAGAATCACTTCCCGCCAAATTTTCAATGGCTTATATGTTGATAAAAAGCCCACAGACCCTTCAATTTTTTTCTGATTATTCCATTCCTTTATTCATATACTTTCAATTCATAACAGTCTATTAAAAAGCTTGTTATTTTAAGACAGAGTAGCGAACATCCTTTATGTGAAATTAACTGCTGGATTAAAAATAACAAATCATCCTATCATTGTTGCCCTTTTATAATCTTCCACTGGCTACAAGGGAGATTGTCAAATCTTTTGTTTGTGCAATAGGTTTAAAGACAAGGACAAATCTATCAGATGCATTAAATTAACCTGCAAAAAGTGCATTTATTAAAAATTTCGTTTTCAACAAGGAAATGATCTACAAAATTTAGAATAGTAGTAAAATTCAATCAAGACTATAAAGACATTTAAATTTAATCTCTGATTAAATAGATTACTGAATTTTTTTATTTTCTAATTTGGCAAATCACGCTCGAGAAAAGTTAAATATATGTAAAGCTACAAAATGATGCTAAAAAGGTAATAAAAATGTAAGAAAATCTGAACAAACTATCTTTTACACAATAAAAAATAATTTAATACAAAAGAAATAAAACCTTGATATAATTGATTCATTGCAGTATAAATGAAACCTCTAGCTTGAATAATTTTCTGAATGAAAATATATCAATATTAATAATTAGTACCGGATCCAGCCTAATCTATTGTCAATTTTCACATTATTTTAGTAAATTTTTCCATCAATAAGGCAGAATATTTCTAAAATAAAGTTATGATCCATCAAAGTTTTACTGATTGTTTAACATAGAATTTTCTAATTTTCAGAACAACAAATGAGCCCCTATTAACGTTATTTTTTACGAAACAATTAAATAACCTGTTATTTTAAGTTAAACAAAATTTTGCAACAAAGTTATTCAAACATCCACAGGGGGATTACTTGAGTCAAATTATCATGTTTAAAAATCCAGAATATCAAATGATCATCACCTCATAGTAATTAAAAAATCCTTAATAATTAATCATACTGGCAGTTGTCACATAATAAATCAGAAATGTCTTCTTATTTCCATATTGAGCTTAAATGACTAGTTATCATTAATAGTTTTCATCAAAGAAATTTACAATATAAAATTTCATACATCATTTACAACAAAATAACAAATATATTCATAACAACAATATACATGTTACACAACCTTCAAGTGCATAATAAAAATATGTGCATGAGGGATTTCATTCCTGAAACAATATCACTTTATACAATTGCAGTAAATTCAGATATAAATTCAATGCTTTTATTTAAGCAAAAATACAATTGCTTGAACAGTCCAATAATTGCTTGACCAAATTACAGTCAACCGTGAAAATAACACCAGTACAGGCCATTTTGATCTTAATTATTTTTTAAGGTCATGTTAAGGGCATACAATACAGATAGAGAGGAGGTAATGATGTTCCTAACATAAAATGTTTTTTTTGCAACGTCAAACTATGACATAACAGGAAAAGATGCAATTTACTGATTTTAATCTTTAGCGTGAGAACGAGTACATGAACCCCTCTTTTTGAAAATGACATTTGGCTTGATTATTTGAACCAATTTTTAAGAACAAAACACTGATGGATTTTTTTGAAATTCAATAAATATACAGCAAAAAATGCCTGTTTTTTTTCCTAAAATCATGCAAATTTAATAAAAAATACTAAATCCAAAGAATTGTTCACAAATTCAGAGCATAATTATGTAAAGAAGATATTCCAAATGATTTACAGAAATCCGCTTGTGTTTATCTTTGAAACAAAAAAGTTGGGTATGACTGTCCAAAGGATAGATATTTCAAAGAAACCTAAATTTTGAGCAATTGTCCAATATTTTGACCCCGTCTATCTCTAAAAGTAGCACATGAAGGTATATTTTTTATTACATATTTGAATTTTCTAGGTAAAAAAAATAGCTTGTATGCAAATTTTCGTAAAAAGTTCACCGTGGGATGAAAACTGTATCATATGCCCTTAAGTCTTTCAATCAGACTTATTCACTTGGTCAATAAATCCTTTTCAAAACAATGTTAGGAATGTTATAAGTGTACTTCAGTTACTTGATGGAATCTTAAATTAATTCTATAGAAAATGAACAAAGAACAGTGTGTATTTATAAGAACATAGTCCACAGAATCTGCATGGGTCGAACACCCAAGAAAATTCAATAGCCAGGATGTGCAATAAAGAAAATTTGGTTGATTTACACTAATGCATCAAAAATAAGGCGAGTTAGGCAACTGTTCCGATATCAGGATTCATTTTCAAGTCTTTCTTTAATCCAGAAAATAAATTTAAAATTTGGTGAAAAAATTTAATTGTGTTCTCAGTAAAAGCCAACATGTACTTCTGTTGGGTTATGATCTACTTGAACATATCAAATGAGAAAAAAAAAACAGCAGATATTGACTTGGTAAATTGGTGAAATTTTTTATGCAGGACATAAAGACCAATCTGTTATCATATGGACAACAAGTCAAGTGGCAAGAGGCTGGTTTGATAATCAAACAATTTGAAAATGACAAAGAATGCTGTCAGAAATTGCTTTGATTCACAGCTACTATGATTTCCTAACAGAAAACTTCCACACCTGACTGTGAACTATTAAACCTAAATTCATAGTAGTTTTCAAAAGACCAAAACAAAACATTTCTGTTTTATTTGTTCATCTACATTACTATAAAAGTATAAAAATGATTCCTTCCTAATAATTGTTTGTAATATACTTACAATATCAATCACACTAATATCAAATAGAATCTAAATTTGTTTCTTCTTGCTATATTCTGTATACAATGCAATCCCAATATATCACAGTACAAAAATCTAATTATGAGGAGATAAAATGAACACTTCATAATCGCATATCAACACCGGAAGTCTGACTTTTGTCAATCAAAACTTATTTTTCATGAGAATTAAAAGGTTAAAAGTCACATAGTTTAAACTTTTTTAAAAAGATTAAATGAGTAAAATCCAGTCTGAAGTTGTATATATAATTCATAGTGCATTTGCTGGTAGTCGATTTATTCTCTAGGTTATATGCCCGCATCAATGTAGTCAAACCTAAATGGGGATCTTTCATGTCTTGATTTGGAAAACAGTTGTTATATTTCATGGGACACTTAAATTCGTGGATAAAGCTTAACGAAAATTGGTAACCCACAAATAAATGTACTTTCACAGTGAATGCTATAACACAGTTAAATATTGTATGCATTTTGTCATATCCATCTACCAACCATTTTATCCTTGACCCCTCAAATTCAATCTTAAGATTTTGTGAAAAAATTGAATACAAAAACTAAACTTCTTTTTCCACAGTTTTGAAAGGTAAATTCTTATGATAAAAGAAAAGAAACAATATGTGTACTCACAAAAACTGCTACATGGTACCATTTATAAGTTTGCCACTCTGTGGACATATCGTAATGAAAAGATCCATGGAAGATGTACTGTAGTTCACCATAAACTCTGCCTACTGATGGTGCAAGGCCAGCACCCATGGGTTGTTAAGATTGCTTAACACCTTAATAGAAGAAGTACAAGACTCACCATACCAGGCAAAATGAATTTGAAATTTGCCACAAGATTCTTGATTTCCCTTCAAAAACTAATCTATGTGCAGTTAATGTGACCTTAGATTGTTGGTAGAGATTCTGGTTTCCCTTGTGATTTTGATAATGTCTGGACCAAAATGCTGTTTGATCTGTACAAGGGTGTACATACAGTAAATAAATGGGGTGCATGTAATCATGTTTAATGACTATACTTATGAGAAAAGGAATACAACTTCTGTTTATAGATGGTCCATGAATTAAATAATGTAGCTGCATACCATTTTTAAAAAGCCAACTTTTATCTTGAAGGAGTCATTTATGGAACACACAAACACACACACACATATATACACACATCAATAAATAAGGTAAGATAATGTACATCTATATAGAAAAACACACAGATCAACATAATATACATGATAGTTTCAAACTGGATATAGATTTAAGATCTATTTTTTTTCAACTACAGTTATAACACAACTGCCGTAATTTTTCTATAAACATTAAATTCTATTTGTTTATTATTTTTTCTCAAAATAATCAATAAGCATTTATCATATAATTTTTACTTTTAAGAAATCTTGAAAAATGAAAAGACAAGTTTTATTAACTTGATCCATTCAAAATAAAGCAAAACATGAATTTAGAAATCCAACATCAATCCTCATTCATTACAGTGTGCGTCTTGCCAATATCTAAAAGATCATTTGTCTAAGCAGACCTATGAATAACAATTATTTTCCCACAATGCAATACCATGTCTACTGTAAACCAACTTATTTTCGCGGATACTTTATTTCACGTTTAGCCCTTTCAAGTCCACTTCACAGCGATTTAATTTCACCATTTTCAAATATATTTAAAGTAGTTCAATAGGAAAGATCTAAGATTTACCTGTTTGCGACGATTTATATTTGAGTTATTTTTCTCCTAGCGAAAGCTGCACAAAAATAAATCAATCACGAAAAATTAGTTGGTTTACAGTATTCTCCCGAGAGGTCTATACAACTAAATGGTAGTGAAAAGCCTTCAACAACATGGTGGAACACTTCTTTCCATTTTTTATTGTGATTTTTCCTTAAATATCTTAAAAGATGGCATACAATTCCCTGCAAATTTGTATCTGGTAACATCAAGAAGGAACATACAATTTCCTATAAGCTTGTATATCTGATTACCAAAAAGTATGATGACAAGTAAAGCAAACGCGCAAAATCAACATATAAAAAACCCATAACCTTCTAGAGCACATCAGGCTCATATTCTTTTTATGCTTGCAATCATTAAAAAGTTTAACTCCGTAAAGTTGTTTTCATCTATTCCAATTTTCAAGAGAAAACTGTTTTAAAGAACGTCGAAAAAAATACAATACCTTCTTCTTTATGAGAAATTGCACTTTCCCATAGAATAAATTAAATACATGTACTTTTATACATTATACATATGTACAGAAAATCTTTTCAAAACTTACAAATTCATTTTGACAAAATAAAATAACGACTTACAAAAACCTTTATAAAACAGTAGCAATAATAAAGAATTTTCATGCCAAGCAAATTGCCACCATTCCGACATTGTTGAAACTAGGGAAAATGTCCCCTCTTACTATTTGCTGTTTTAATTTTCCTGGATTGAGTCACATGAAATTTTTCATTTTTGACATGTTTTGATAATGCTCTGACATTATACATACAAAACAAACTGACACACAATAAGAGTCAGATACATAAATGATTTAGATAAGAAAATTTCCCCCTACAAATGCTTTTCTACGTGATATTTTCAAATCACACACATGAACACAAGTGGTAATTAAGGCAAAATGACACTATATGTCATCTTAATTTGATTTGAATTTGGCATTGCAAAGATATTTGATAGATTTAAACTCACTGAAATCATATGTGCTTATAAAAATGAAAATCTATCATGTTTATACTCATCTGACTCCTAGCCTAGGCTGTTCGATTAAACAAACATGACACCTAGGACAAGGATTACAAAAAAAAAATTAAGAGTATTTTGTGTTACTTTTTAATATGAAAATGCATATGAAATGTATAGAATGCATTAAATGGTGGATATCCTCTTTCTAAAATGCTTCCCTCATATGTAAAAATGACAAAGTTTACAAGAGCATCAAAGTAAATGATATATATCACTACACATAGGCAGACATACATATATATAAATTTACAGTGAATGTATGCTTCTAAAAAAAGAACAGCATCCTGTAATTATACTGAAGAGATGAGTAGATGATCATTTCTGTACACTTATAAATACTTTGTGTATTGCGTCTAGATGTCCTTGTTTAATTCCTACGAGAAGGTAACACCTCCTGAAACGAAAGCTGATTTTTTATCAGCTATAGTTAGAGAAGGAAATAAGGCGTCTGTGCAATGCTAGGCGGTGTTGCCGTAGAAGTATGAAGTGAAAAGTACAGGTTCCAGCCCCTCTCGGGGAGGGAGTTAAGAATCAAATCTACTCTAACATTGTTAGGTTGATTTTCTAGGCACTTTATAAATATTCTAAAGCCTGGTATTTCTTAATCATAAGAAATCCGATGGACAAGGTATAATTTACAGTTGTCACTACACATAGGCAGACATACATATATATATATACATATCTGAAAAAAAAATCTTGTATTCATCAAACAAAAATATTCAGTAGAAAATGTATGTTATTCTTTTTCTATTTTCCTTTTCATGATTTTCTTTTGTCACTTAGTGTCATAAGCCATCTCTTCAATTCACAAAAAGTGCTGAAAATATAATTCATAACTTAATTTCAGTGGCCAATGAAAATTAAAATGCAGATTAATTCTGAATTCAGGTAAAGATCGTTATAGACAGCATAGAACATGGAACATGAAATTCTGACAAGACTAAAAAAAAACTTTCTACTTGATTGCCAGTTCAGGCAAACATGGAATTCTGACTTTTGGAATTGATCCATCAAAAACTTCTGACTTTTGGAATTGATCCATCAAAAGTCTGTCAATCCTTTTAAAAATGTGCCTATTGTAAAGAAGTTTTTCTATTCCAACTAATGTCGGAAATCATGAATTATATTCTTTAGTCATTAAATATCATTTTGGAAAAATAATAATATTCATAAAAAAAATTAATTCTGACTTCATTTTTTGTTGGTGGTAATGAAGTTTTTCCATTCCAATCATTAATTCATTCTTTTGTCATTAAATATCATTTTGGAATATTAATAATATCTATATATATATCATGACTTCAGATATGGGACCATATAAACAACATGGAGCATGGAATTTGGGCAAGACTAAAACCTTTCTACTTAATTGTCAGTTCAGGCCAACATGGAATTCTGACTTTTGGAATTGATCCATCAAAAACTCTATCTGTCCAATCTGTCAATCCTTTTAACAATTTTTTGATGGTCATGGAGTTTTTCCATTTTCTTTTGTCATTAAATATCATTTTGGAAAAATAATAATATTCATAAAGAAATTAATTCTGACTTCAGATAAAAATCAAAGAAAAAACAACATGGAACATGGAATTTTGACAAGATTAAAAACTTTCTACTTGATTGCCAATTCAGGCCAACATGGAATTCTGACTTTTGGAATAGATCCATCAAAGACTCTATCCGTCCAATCTGCCAATCCTTTAAACAATTTTTTGATGGTCATGGAGTTTTTCCATTTTCTTTTGTCATTAAATATCATTTTGGAAAAATAATAATATTCATAAAGAAATTAATTCTGACTTCAGATAAAAATCAAAGAAAAAACAACATGGAACATGGAATTTTGACAAGATTAAAAACTTTCTACTTGATTGCCAATTCAGGCCAACATGGAATTCTGACTTTTGGAATAGATCCATCAAAGACTCTATCCGTCCAATTAGTCAATCCTTTTAACAATTTTTCTATGGCAACAGGAGTTTCTCCATTCCCGTCACTGTCCGAGTCATCTGTGTCAACGAATCCAACTGCCCTGGACACTTTGTCAGTATTCCTTATCCATTTCCGTGCAGGTCTTGGATGGTATATATAGTAATAATTTCTGTGACCGTTTATGGCTAAAACTGTGCCTATACAATTCCTGATTTTCATATTTGTAAGATCAATCTTTTTGTCAACACTCTCTTCTAGTAGATGTCGATACCAACCCATATACAGATCCAGGTTCACAAAACCAAATGTAAGTCCGCTATACCTGTAAAATTTATAGAAGCACTATGGGCTATATATAGTTATAGTTATAGTTAAACAGTATATAATGTTATGTACTGGTTCTTGGTTCTGATGACGAAGAGTGTAAAATTTGCCAACAATATAGGTAAATTTTGCCAAAATTCAAGAAAGTCCCCTGTGCCTATCCTTAATATTGGACAAGCCATTTCTTATCTTTCATTATAAGAATAGTAGCTACTTTTAAAACATAAAAATAATCTAAGCTTTTAAATTCAATATAAATTTTTTGAATAAATCTATGGTTAACTTTCAGTTGTTAGAAGTCATCTGTCCACAGTGGGCAGGTGAAAATAACACAAAAATACAAAGGAGCTGTAGTGAAGTAAAAAAAAATGACAAATTAGGTGAATTTACCAATAATATCAAGCTCTTTCATCATTGCAATTTTGACTTGAACTGTTAACTTATTTTTAAATATCTTCTCTAATAATCTTTATAAACTGACTGGTTCACATATGATTAACATCTACAGAAATTTCCTATTCATACCTCGTTAGAGGATACACCATTTTCCCAAATTCTTCCAACAAGAATTTTTTAGTGTCTTCATCTACCAATGCTATTACTGTCAAGCCTGTTTCACAGTTGGTAACCAGTTCTTCATAGGTCTCAGGTCGTAGTTCATACAGGTTTATACTATTTGTTATTGTATTTCTGCAAAGCATCGATAAAGAATTGTCAAATAATTGCTACAGTTATGTCACTTATGGAATTTAGTTGATTGATTGATTAATTATTGATTTTTTATTGATTTTTTAATCTCATGGAATCAAATATTATTGGGAGATATTTGATATTATCGTCCGTCCTTTTGCTATATCAGCCTGCTCAGTTACTCCGTAATTTTTGTATAATGGCTTTGAGACGTGAGCAATTTTATCGGAGACGTCACAATGTCTGAGGAGACTTTTATCAATTTTACTTTCGTGAATCGTATAACTGTCTAAGGGAAGATGATATGACCAGTAATAGATAATCAGGTTTTCTACACATAAGACTGGATCACTTGCTCAGCACAATGTTCAGCTTTTTTGCCCGTTCGCTTAGCTCACTCGCCACTAAGTAAAATTGAGAATGGAAATGGGGAATGTGTCAAAGAGACAACAACCCGACCATAGAGCAGACAACAGCCGAAGGCCACCAATGGGTCTTTAATGCAGCGAGAAACTCCCCCACCCGGAGGCGTCCTTCAGCTGGCCCCTAAACAAATATGTATACTAGTTCAGTGATAATGGACGTCATACTAAACTCCAAATTATATACAAGAAACTAAAATTAAAAACGATACAAGACTAACAAAGGCCAGAGGCTCCTGACTTGGGACAGGCGTAAAAATCTGGTGGGGTTAAACATGTTTTTTGAGATCTCAACCCTCCCCCTATACCTCTAGCCAATGTAGAAAAAACAAACGCACAACAGTACGCACAGTAAAACTCAGTTTAAGAGAAGTCTGAGTCCGATGTCAGAATAGGAAACAAAAGAAAATAAACAAAATGACATTAATACATAAATAATAACAGACTACTAGCAGTTACTGACATTCCAGCTCCAGACCTCAATTAAACTGATTGAAAGATTATGTCTTCATCATATGAAGTACACATTGTGGTTCAGGACTTACATATTACGATATCAATATGTAGAAAAAAAATGATAATCTATATGTCTCTGTTAAATTATTCACTGATCTTCTAGACTCTGAGAAAAATGTCAACATGACATTTTTTTTACTTACCACTTGTAGAAAAGTTGTGCTCTTTAAAAATGTTATTAGAATAACTCATCTTAAAATTTTATATATATCTTTATGGTCAATAGGAAGTCATGTACTTTATTTTTACTTTTAATTCTCTAACCTCCCAACAAAGAATGGCAATAACAATTTTACTACTCAAAATATTGTCCAATGAGAACTACCTCATTTCATGTTCATGTCCATTTCATATAATACATTTGTTCAAATTTTAAGATTAACAAGGACTTTATAAGGAAAGTAAAAATAGCCCAACATCCTCCTCCCACCAACCCCTAACTAAAGCTTTTTAAAAGTTTCTTGTATGGTGTTAAAATATATCTATACAGGGAAACACTTTTTGTATATTTTTGTAATATTAAATCCAACAGATAAATTATAAAAATCTTCCATGATTTTTTTTTTTATTTTTATTTTTTTTATTTTCTTATATTTTTATGAAATAATTCGATCAAAAATCTTCCATGATTCTATTGACATTTATGCAACTCTAGTGGGTAGTTGACAATCATATACCACATCTCCTTAATTTTATACAAACTTACACTGATGGTGGCCTAGGTTTACTTTTCCTTGGTATAGTCTTTCTTATCTGCTCCTCCTCTATGGACGCCATCTTTTGTAAGAAGAACCCCATACCAAACATTAGGAACAAGGACATAATAACAGTAATGTAAGTTATAGCATCATATCTGAAAAATAAATCAATAGATAATATTGTAAGTTTTTTTTATATAACACCTGTATCAGCCCGAGACACCAATATAATCCCAAGACCACTGCTCAAGGGATTATATTGGTTGAGGGTTGATACAGTGTGTGATATTGAAAAAGCCATATCATATACACTTTATTATATACATGTACCTCAAGTACGACAAATCTCTCTTATGTATTTTTCACGAGACATGACTTAATATATATTAGGGGTTTGATAAAGCTTTTGTAACAATGACCGATATTGATTACATGATGTCATACAGATAAGGGGTTTAATAAAGCCTTTGCAACCGTGACTGGTATCGATAACATCACAGATGGTTGATACAGCACGATTGTCATCAATTATATTACACATACGATTTACTTGTATTAACTACTAAGTATATAATAAATGATTTTATAATGTATCATAGTGTAGCAATGTAAAATGTACCAAATCAGGTATGCATGTGCAATGTTCCTAATTTTCATAAAAATATTATATTTCACCAATCATATATTCAGATAGTTAATTAATAAATACAATGTATAAGGGAAACAAATTTAATTGATTGATACTGTTCTATACCTAATAATAATAATCTAAAAATATTATAAATTCTGAAAATATTGTCTCTATTTATTGATCAAGATAAAAATGGTAAGAGTACTAAATTTGATTTAGTATTAAGAAAATACTACATGCAAACAATGCATTCAGAATTTAAATTTCTAATTTGAATTTATATTGTGATACAAATACTTATCTTCAAACAATTTTTCGAAATAAAAACATTGCAAATATTTATTAAATCAAGGTGATTTCAAACTTATATAATTACATTACATGTATGTTTCATTATAATACCTTATTTTGATTGGCTAACAGCAATCTCGTGTCATTCTGAAATTAACCTTCATTTCAAAATGAAATGTAACATTCATGATGACACGAGCTTCCACAATAAAGTGCACAAGTAAATAAAAGAAAAACTTGATAGAAATCGTGTTTTCATGATCCTAGCAAAAAAATGTAATTATAAGTATTGAATGCTTCTTTTAGTAATTTTATAGGGTTGTAAAAGCGTTGACTGTGTGCACATTTTTAGAATGAAGCGTGGAATACAAAAGGTACTTCGGTCAATGCTTTTACACCCCAATAAATTTACAAAAAGAAGCCTTCAATTTTTAAGAATAAACAGACATAAACTTTTTAATTCTCTACATAATACACTGTTATTTGTCAATATGGCAGATCATTATATCAAACATTGGAAAATGTTAAGATGTGGGCTCATTTTTGCTGTAGACATGTTACTCGAAATTTATCCCACATGGACAATTCACTGTCCATTTAAATAAATTGTACAAAGCCATTAAAAAACTTGAATAATGAACACATTGAAGATTTAAGGAGGAAGACCTAGGTTAACATGGTTAAGAGAAATAACTCTTAAAATCATCAGTACGTTTATGTCAACCATTTTCATAAATATATTCTAAGCTTCTAGGTTACATAGATTACTTCCAATTTGTTTCAGGTAAATGCTTTAAAATACATCCATGAAACTTGACTTTTATAAACGCATAACTGATTTAAAGAGTTATCTCCCTGAACCAAGGTCTTCCCCCTTAACTACCCCATCTTATGCCCAAACTGTGATCAAAACCACATGCTAAAAGTAACTCCATATAAAGTATATATTTATATACTTACGTTGCAAGATAATTGTAAACTTTCTCACCCCAACTCCACAATTTGTAGAAAATTCTGATTATCAAATGCTGAAAAAATATATATCAAAGTTCACTAAATAACTTTCTTCTTAGAATGGTGACAAAAAAAATATGATACCCTTTCCACAGCAAGATAAAGATGGCTCCTACATAAAAGTTCTACACAACACTGTCATTATTATTTAAAAGTAAAAAATAAAAAAAAAATAAACAGGAAACAACATATTTAAATTTGAATAAAATTTGTTGAAGCGGTTTTTCTTGTTATTCTACTGACAAGCTGTTTGGCAGCCGCCCGCCATATGTCACCATTTTAATAACCGATATTTCCTTCGAAAATCCGGTTAAATATAACAGGAATTGGCAAAAATACATCGGTCACATCAATCATTAACAATGGACTCATCCAAAAAAACAGATAAACAATCAACAACAAAAACACATCATCCAGATAGCTTGACCTGGGTATATGTACTTGAACGCGCTTAAACATAACTTCATCCTTTGGACCAACAGAAAAGTGCCCTTACTTCTTTCAAATTGCTGCTATAGCAATGTCAACAAATTAGTTCATTTGGACTCTGATGGATAATTGTCTCATTGACAAACAAATTATTTTTAAAAAGTCATTATTTTAGATTTTCATAACCTACTTTTACTTACCAAAGCATGTTCATTATTAAATTCAGGAAGTATTACTCTGTAAGCTAAAGACTGATCTGAGTTAAGTAAATGTTTGACTTGTTCTTCCAGATGTTTGCGACTATCTTGTATATTATCTATATTCCATCCTTTTGAGAGCCAGTTGTAACTTAGATGATTTTTCTCCATTCTCCATAAAATAATCACCTGCAATAATAAAATTATTTACTATAAAAAATTCTATTGCAGGTATTGTTGATCTTAATAACTTTCATGTTTTGTTGTAAAACACTATAATAATCAGAGTGTGATGAAAAACTTTTGAGAGACATGTTTTGAATAAAGGTGCCTCATTAGTACTGATTATCAGAATTCTTTAGTTGTGCATTATATGAGGGTCTGTGAGGGGTTTACAAAATTGAGAATATTGGGCAAAATCTACAGAAAAATGCTAAAAAAAAAGGAAGAGAGAAAAAAGGGCAGAAAAATAAAGAATTAATGAGAATAATTGGGTACTAAAATACAAAGAAAAGAGAATAAAGGGCAAAAATGCAAAGATTAGAGAAAAAAAAGCCTAGAAAAATTAAAGAATACAGAAATGAAGGACCCCTCATCAAGACCCTCTTATATTTGGTTATGTCTTATAATATTTACATGTATATATGTTTCAACAGATAACCCTAACCTGATTCAAGAGCTACTGGACCTACGACCTCAGCTAAATTCTATGAAATTGTGTTCAAAGGGTATTATTCTGAATACATATATAGGCATACAAAGTGTTTTTAGGACTATAATAAGTTCTGCATAAATCATTCAATCTAATTAATAGGATTTACAGATTTACACTTATCAGGACTCTGGAATCAATGATTAATTTTTTGGATCTGGGAAAGAATCCTTATTTTTTTTTAAATTCTGCATTAATATTTTCAGGAATTTGGTATGACATCCCCTCCTACCACCCCACCCCCTTACTCCATCCCCCCTACCCCAACCCTTATTATGCCAATTTGCAGCTTTGTAATTTAACTCAATCTTAGTCAACCTGGCAATCTTTTAAACCTTGTTCAGGACTTAATGCCTAAAATACTCCTGACAAACTTTTCAACCATGTTCAGGACTAGAACATAATAACATGCAACATAAATACATCCTTCTTTGTTCTAGAAAGACACGAAAGTAAGAAATCATGTCAACCAAACAGAATTGTTATTCTGACTAACAACTAAACAATCTTTGCTTATTCTACAAAATGCTGAATTCTAAGTTGAGAAACTACAATTACCAATTTTTAAAACAATGTTTTTATGTGACCAGCATATGAATCACATCTACCAACATACCATTGAAACAGTCAACAGAAATTGTAATTATATATTGAAATTTGTACTGTAATAAGCAGGCTACTGTGGATTCATTTTTTTCCATGGTTACTAATTTTCGTGGATTGAGGAAAAATTGTATTTTTTATGGATATTTTATTTCCTTGATTTGTCAACGTATGCATGCAACAAATAGAAAATTGTACTTGGTTGCACATTTAAATTCATGGTTTACCTAAATCCACAAAAATTCGTAACCCATGAATGATATTATTTACAAAGTGTGCAATTGTCCTAATACAGGAATTTATCAGGTCAATAAAATTCATATCGGGTGAGGCGAAGCACTGTGTAACGAATTTATCCTGATTTTGTTATCACACCACTTATTTATTGTTTTTTTTTTAAAATAGTATTAAAATAGTATTTAGAATATTAATTATTAGGACAATATCAACCTAATATATTTATTAGATATTTAATCTAAAACTGTGAAAAATGAAAAATATTAGGACTTCTATTTTTATTAAGTCAATGGTATAAGGGAGATAATTCGAACTGACTTAATAAAAAAATGCACTGAAATTTATTAGGACAATGTCAGCCACTCAAATTGTGACAAATTTCTCTAAATCAGGATAATAATGAATACACAGTATACATGAACATTACCTTGCTTTGTGTATCATCAGTTTCAGATGTATCACCTTTAGAGAAACTCTGAATCACATTTTTCTGTGTATCCTCATAGATGTATGCAAATTTTACTCTTTCATTTCGTGTCAGTGAAGATGACTGAACATATTTTCTGAAGCTGTTCAGAAATTTTTCATTATCAGTTTCACTTTTCTTAGTCACCAAAACCACACACAGTCTGAAAAATAAAATGAAAAATCAAAGCACTGTCAATGCGGTGAGCCAACCAATGTGACTTTGAATATATATAGAAAAAATAGTGCAGCAAACTTTTACTTTCTGAAACACTCAAGGAACCATCTCAATCTTTTTAGTTTTACATGTAGGTGTGTTCTAGATATTGAAGTTGCACATTAGAGAATTAACACTTCAGGGAATAAAGATAGTAAAAAATATCAATGATTAAATAGAAATAAAATTTCTTTATTGCATTTCAAACATGTATACTAATAATTATGTTGGTGTATAACATGTTAAAATTTTAAAACTGTCCCTTTCAATTTTCAATTCAAAAAAATCTTATGATTTTACCCTGCGATTCATTTCAATTAATTTCATCAAGACATGATAAAGAATTTCACAGGAATAAATGTTTTACCCAACAAGGCTTGTTAATTATAACTAAATAATATTTAAAACAAAAATACAGCACCATTCCAATATCAAAATTACTATTAAATCAATAAACATTTAAAAGGTCCTTATATTATTTGTTTAAATGTAAATGTACCTCCTTCGTTTTGCTTTCATTTCCTCAGGACAAATCTCTTCAAATCGTCTCTGCGATGATAGCCGTGGCAGGATGATAAATCTATTGGCTATCAATACCTCTTCCATTGTACTCCTGGTCAACTGTGGCATCTAAAAAATGTAAACAATTCTTTATAAATTTCAAAATATTCTTTTAGAAATAAATTTTGAAATTCGGAAATCACATTTTCTTATTTCACTTTTTTTTTTCAGTAATTTTTTAGTCCCTTTTGAAGTGTGCAAAAATTTGACAGACCTATCATTCTGATAAAAAAAAAAACTCTAAACTTACATATGTTTGCCATACTTAGTTTTCTCGTTTGAATTGTTTTACATTGTTATTTCGGGGCCTTTTATAGCTATCTGTGCAGTATGGGCTTCGCTCATTGTTGAAGGCCATACGGTGACCTATAGTTGTTAATTTCTGTGTCGTTTGGTCTCTTGTGGAGAGTTGTCTCATTGGCAATCATACCGCATCTTCTTTTTTATATGATAAACAAGAAAAACTTCAAAAAGGTATATGCTTCCTTATAAGAACTCCAGATGCAATAAGGGCATGCAAAAATACAAACAAACATATAAATTATATGAATGAAATTACTTAAATCTTCACTGTTGTCAGACTTATATCGCACTGTTTGCTATAGTAACTATAATACGGCCATCATTTTTATGCACCTGTCCTAAGTGGTTGTTGTTTGTTGGTGTGGTTCATAACTGTTTCTCGTTTTTTATATAGATTAGACCGTTGGTTTTCCTGTTTGAATTGTTTTACACTAGTCATTATTTTGGGGCACTTTATAGCTTGCTGTTCGGTGTGAGTCAAGCTCTTTGTTGATGGCCGTACTTTGACCTATAATTGTTTACTTTTTATACATTGTGACTTGGATGGATAGTTGTCTCATTGGAACTCGTGCCACATCTTCTTATCTATATAGTCATGAGACAAAAATGTGACACTAACAAATTTCAAGAGTTTATGCAAGATGGGCAACAATAAAATAACACATACACATAAGTAGTATAAATATGATAAAAACTTACAACCAAAGTAGCAACAGGTGTCTGTGTGTCTTCATTAAACATTAGTAAAGTTTCTCTGTATCGATTCACGTTGTATTTCTTCGTCAAATTACTATTGTCATTTATCCATAAATTGACATATCCAAACTTAATGAATTCTTTGTGGTAGAAGGCTGGCGCTAAGAATCTCATAGATATTTCCTCTCTTCTAATAAAAAGTAAAGCTCGCACATGGTTGTCGTTCCAGCCATCAAGAAAATCTTGAAAGTTTCCATCATTAATCTAAAAAATAGTTTTTTTAATACATAAAAAATATATATCTTTTAACTGTGTTGTATTAAAAATTCCTTCAAAACTGAAAATCACAGCATTTAGAAAAGTCGCTGGATGAGGAGAACAAATCATTGAAAGAGAAATCATCAGTTTCCTTTCATATTCTGCATAACAACTGTGCATATGAGTTTTGAAAACAATGAAAACTTTATCTTTAGAGATCAATCCTTATTTGAAAAGGCATATATTTCAGGAGATTTTGTGATTGAAACCGGTTAAAAATGATTTTTCATCTAAAAGATGGATTAAAAGGATAATTAAAATTCAATATCATATACACTTTTTTGCTAATGAATGAACTTCTAAAAGAAGGTCATACTGTGACCTAAAGTTGCTAACATTCATGTCATTTGGACATTTGTATTATTGGCAATCATAATTCTTCTCCATATTTTTATATTCTATGTTTGTCACATAAATGCACTCTAAGACACTTACACATATGTTTCAATACAGCCATCATATACACACCTGTGAAAAAAACACTCTCTCATATGCATGATATGTTTTCATGTCTACACATACCTTTGTAAACAAATTTTTAGGAAATACCCCTCTAGCAAAGCTATTCAGACCAGCTGTGTTCACACTACCCCTGAAGGTGGTCAACTGTCCATTAATCAGCATAAGAAGTGTTGGTACTCTCTCTATCCTCAGTGCTCCAGTTAAAGATCTTGCTCTTCCAGCATGGAAAGTACCAACACATATTCCTGGAATTATGGGTAAAATATACAGTGAAATCTGCTTAAACCAAACTCTTAGTGTAAAATATAGTGAAATCTGCCTAAACCAAACTCTTAGTGTAAAATATAGTGAAATCTGCCTAAACTAAACTCTTAGTGTAAAATATACAGTGAAATCTGCCTAAACAAAACTCTTAGTGTAAAATATAGTGAAATCTGCCTAAACTAAACTCTTATTGTAAAATATACAGTGAAATCTGCCTAAACCAAACTCTTAGTGTAAAATATACAGTGAAATCTGCCTAAACCAAACTCATAGAGTAAAATATACAGTGAAATCTGCCTAAACCAAACTCATAGAGTAAAATATACAGTGAAATCTGCCTAAACCAACCCCTGTGTAAACTTTTCAAGAATCTGTCTAAAATAAGCTTCAGCATCAGCACATAAATACAATATATATTCTTCAGTAACTCAACCTTCTGCTATAAAGTGGAAAATTTTCAGGTGGGGATTATTTCCATATAATTTTGTGCACTGTAGATTTTTTTCTTTATTAACAGACATGAATTACACAAAAATATAAAACGTGTGGACATTTCTTTACTACAGCTTTCATTGTAATTATGAATGATCTAATTACCAGAAAAATTCATCTGTAAAAAAAATTGGTTTACAGTTATTGATTTTTTTTAATGATGACCTTAATCACATTGGGTATCCTTATCCTAAATCCACAAATGTAATCAAATTCCTAGGAGCAATAACGAAAAGTTTGTAACATTGGGTAGGTTAAATCTAGTTACGATTCCTACGGAGCATAATTCCTCTGTGGAAATCAAATCCAGATTTTACCTACCCACCGTTACACACTTTTCAATAATTGCTCCATTGGATTCAGATCCAGATACTCAGTGTTTAAATAGATATATTAAAAAAAGAATCTTTTCTTACCAACATCTTCCAGATCCCTAATGAGTTTTTCCACTAGATGTTCTATCCTGGCACAATCAAAACAAAAATCAGTGTAAGTATATAGAAAACATGGCTTCCTGTCACTTTCTGGTAAAATCTTTGTTTCATAAGCTCTGAAATAAACCAAAAATAAACTGTTAACACAGAGATATGTCTTGCCTTTGTGACCTAGTCGCAAACTTTAATAATTGTTGAAGCAGACGACACCCGACAAGGCACATCAAAATTGGTGGAGTTGAACATTATAATTTTGGATTTTTATGTATTATTCTCTAAACTAAGGTAAACTTTAGATACTGTTAAATTGATCATTGAACTGAGTCTCTATGGCACTGCAATCTTCGATATATAGTACAGTAAAAAATCTCCCTTGTTGGTGTTGAATGATTCATTGTGAAACAGGGTGATTGCTAATGATTTAAATTGATAACACTTTGATTTTTGGCCCAGAGAGATATTGCAAGATGAATCACCTACAATCAACAGTATTCACCGTGAAAAGTCACCACCAAAAGAGATTTTGAACTGAATTACCTAGCATGTACTGTTTAAATCAGCTTATTTGTTGGAATTGCATGTTTATCAAATCTATTGGGGTGGATCCAGTAATTTGCTTAGAGTCAGCTCCATTAAATGACTAAAGCCATTTATGAAGACTAGCAAAGCAAACATATTTTATTTAATTTATTTTATTCTTGATAATTAAGGACAATACTACGTTCTTTCAGATAGATTTGTAATTTCAAATACATCAAAAGAAATCTCATGTTTTTGATATAAATATATTTATATATTTTTATTATCATGGTATATTTACATTTGCTCCACCTCCTCTAAATTTTCTGCTGTTTGGTGGGGGTTGTTGTCTCTTTGACACATTCCCCATTTTTATTCTCAATTTTATACATGGAATATTTCAACGAACTTTCAACAACAAGATACAAATCATTTGTTTCAATATACACTATACAGAGAGGAATTATTTAATCTTTAAACTTTATACTTACCTTAAATTTATATGAAACTTTTCTATAACTGATTCTCCTTGATGATTTCCATTGAAGTTAAAGTTGAAGCCCCTGAAGAAATCGTTACCAAAAGGATTATGGTATTCATGTGAAGCTTTTTGTTCTCGTGCAGCTGTGTAACCAAATCTGTCATACTGGTCTCTTTTGTTGGAATCACCAAGTGTCTGTAATACATGTATTAAGTTATCTTGGATAGAAAATATTTCAATTCAATAGACAACTTTCGAGTTCATTGCATTTCCGTCAAAAACTTTGGTTTTAGTGAATATCACTCATGCGTTTAGGGGCATCGTCACTTCCTTCCCATGTTGAGCGGGTGGTTGAAAAAATATAATGATGTATTGCACGAATCATTAGGCAAATTAAATTCTTTTAATTGATAATCAGCACTGCTGTCATTAGGGAATTGTGATCAAGTACCTACGGAACAAACAGTATTTCTAGTTTATCCTCCATAATGACAATCACGAAGACGCTTGATGAACTTTGATAGTGCAGGGATACAGGCGATCCCCTCTATCTGGTAAATGACATCATAAAGGCGCGCATAATTGACGAGCTTTTCCGGTGAAGGACATAACTCGAAAGAGGTCTATAAAGACAACATAAACTACTCTGTAAATCTGTAAATCAATGGTTGTTTATAACTGCCGTATAAATATCATTTTTGTTTGTTGTTTTGTACATAAATCAGGCCATTGGTTATCTTGTTTAAATTGTTTTACATTTTGTAACGTCAGGGCCTTTCATAGCTTGCTATGTGGTATGAGTTTTTGCTCATTATTGAAGGCTGTAAGGTGACCTATGGTTGCTAACATCTACCTTATTTAGTCACTGGTGGATATTTGTCTCATTGTAAATCATACCACATCTCCTTGTTCTATATTTAACAATTTTTTAGAACAAAAAAGAGTTGCATCATCTAGTTACATTATTGATATTATATATTATTTCTAATCATTGAAAAAGTGTGCCCCTCTTCCCTTTAAGCATGAGAAAGTATGCCCCTCTTCCCTTTGAGCATGAGAAAGTATGCCCCTCTTCCCTTTGAGCATGAAAAAGTATGCCCCTCTTCCCTTTGAGCATGAAAAAGTATGCCCCTCTTCCCTTTGAGCATGAGAAAGTATGCCCCTCTTCCCTTTGAGCATGAAAAAGTATGCCCCTCTTCCCTTTGAGCATGAAAAAGTATGCCCCTCTTCCCTTTGAGCATGAGAAAGTATGCCCCTCTTCCCTTTGAGCATGAAAAAGTATGCCTCTCTTCCCTTTGAACATGATTATTGTGTCCCTCTGTCCTTAAAATTCTAGCTGAAACACTGATGTATACATATATAGTTATAAACATGTTTGTCCTAAATTACTGCTCCCAGTAACAGATAATAAAAGCCATAAAAGAGGATTGATGAATATCCAAATTGCAGGCACATTTAAATGAATGAAATTATTGGACAATACAAGAGATCCTTTAGATATGTATATATAGTGGCTGAATAAAGATTAATGTATAAGTTTGAAATTGTCGTACAAAACAAAATATTATTTAGATATATAATATTTGAATAGACATAAATGAATAAGTTTCAAATTGAACTCACTGGACATTAAGTAATCATCAATTAATCAATCAATCAATCTAATTGAACATACATCATTATCAAGAACATGCAGTAACTGAGAGTACTCTCAGATCTGTACTTAGTATATTTTTGGTTGTGGGGATGTATAAATACCCTGCCTCATCCTGTCTGTGTTTATGTTACTTGTTTTTCTGCTTTGTATCTGATGAGTTAAGCCTTTTTCAACTGGTCTTAGGGTTAGCGCGCCCTAAAACTAGTTTAACCCGGTCACATGTTCAACTCAGTCACATTCTGTATGTGCCTGTCCCAAGTCAGGAAGCTGTAATTCATTGGTTGTCTTTTGTTGCTGTATATCATGTATATCTTATCTGTTTTTTTCGTTCATTGTTTTGTACATAAATCAGGCCATTGAACTGTTTTACATTTGACATTTCAGGGCCTTTTAAAGCTGACTATGCGGTATGGGTTTTGCTCATTGTTGAAGACCGTACGGTGATCTATAGTTGTTATCATAGAATATATGGCATTTGGTCTTTGTTAGAGAGTTCAGTTGCCTCATTGGCAATCATACCACATCTTTTTATTTCTATATTAGTTAAATACGTGTGATATGGTTCATTCTGTCCTGTAAAATAAATAATTGTAATAAATCAAAATGTTTTTGACAAAAAAAGAAGGAAAACTGAATCAACTATCATCATGACCATACCTCATAAGCTTCATTGATTTTGGTAAATCTATCAGCAGCATTTGCTTCACTATTTTTATCTGGATGCCTGAAAGAAAAAGTGGATGTGCAACAAATATGTTAATACACTATGTACATGAATTATATTTTATTGTCAAGCAAGATGTGTGAAGATTTGGATATAACATAAGTTAAATAAGTAAGTCCACGGTTCTCATTAAGGATTTTTGAAGGCGAGTCCAGGGACTCGTCATTTTTGGCCATGGTGGGTCCAACAGTAAGAAGGAGATATTTTATTGCAATATAATTTATCATTTTAGTCTCCATGACCTAATAGAGCAATGAAATGACATTAAATTCAGATTTCTTTTAAACTTTTGCTACAAAATGATGATATGTGTGTTCAGTTTACACAAAATATTTCAATCTTGATGCATCTTTGGACTCACCAGTTTTGAAAATGGTGAGTCCAGACAGATTTTCATGAGTCCAGGAGTCATGGACTCGTCTTAGTGAGAACCCTGAGTTACTACATGTAGGTCTTCTCCAAAACTTAATAAAAATTACAAGAGAAAACACATTACAAATTGGAATTGGAAATAAGTTATCTATAAGTAAAAAAAAAACAAGATAAAAGAGTCTGATTTAGTTTGATGTAAGGACTAAGCTCTATAGTACATGTTACATTAAACCTGTTAAACAAATTCTTTTTTTTTCCAAAATAATTAAATCTGAACAACCATGACAACTGAAGTTATAACCTCAATGATTACAATTTTGACCATAATCTTAACTACACTATAAAATGGAATTATCTACTGTTTTAGCATGAAAATTCTCATTCATAGTAACATCTAAAAATTGTCGTCCTGAACATACATGAAATATTTGCCACTGGACGTTAAGCAACCATCAATCAATAAATCAATCTAAATACTGTATTAAAGGTTTACATTTTTATGCCTTTTACGTAACATTTTTCTTCAGTGGCGTTCACATTATTTAACCTAGTTTTCTGTATAATGTATGGAGAACTTTTGTTTTTTTACATTTTTTCCTTTGGCAATGGTACCTTTGTCTTGGGGTCATAAAATAAGCCATGGCTTCTACTGACCCCTCACCTTGGAATGTCCTAATGAAATTTCTCATTGCTTAATAATATATATATTATACTTATTAAAAATAAAAACTTATAAAGGTGTGTTCAACTTAACAATTAACATGAACTTATAAATTCATATGGGTTCCAGTGTTCGTCATTTAACGTAGACTTAAATTATTCAAAGACTTTGCTACAAAATGACATGAATGATGATATGTGTGTTCAGTTTACACAAAATATTTCAATCTTGATGCATCTTTGGACTCACCAGTTTTGAAAATGGTGAGTCCAGACAGATTTTCATGAGTCCAGGAGTCATGGACTCGCCTTAGTGAGAACCCTGAGTTACTACATGTAGGTCTTCTCCAAAACTTAATAAACATTACAAGAGAAAACACATTACAAATTGGAATTGGAAATTAGTTATCTATAAGTAAAAAAAAAACAAGATAAAAGAGTCTGATTTAGTTTGATGTAAGGACTAAGCTCAATAGTGCATGTTACATTAAACCTGTTATACAAATTCTTTTTTTTTCAAAAATAATTAAATCTGAACAACCATGACAACTGAAGTTATAACCTCAATGATAACAATTTTGACCATTATCTTAACTACACTATAAAATGGAATTATCTACTGTTTCAGCATGAAAATTCTCATTCATAGTAACATCTAAAAATTGTCGTCCTGAACATACATGAAATATTTGCCACTGGACGTTAAGCAACCATCAATCAATAAATCAATCTAAATACTGTATTAAAGGTTTACATTTTTATGCCTTTTACGTAACATTTTTCTTCAGTGGCGTTCACATTATTTAACCTAGTTTTCTGTATATTGTATAGAGAACTTTTGTTTTTTTACATTTTTTTCCTTTGGCAATGGTACCTTTGTCTTGGGGTCATAAAATAAGCCATGGCTTCTACTGACCCCTCACCTTGGAATGTCCTAATGAAATTTCTCATTGCATAATAATATATATATTATACTTATTAAAAATTAAAACTTATATAGGTGTGCACAACTTAACAATTAACATGAACTTATAAATTTATACGGGTTCCAGTGTTTGTCATTTAACCTAGACTTAAATTATTAAAAGACTTTGCCGTCAATGTTAAATCTGACAGATTATTCCACTGATCCTCTACTCTAATTGAAAAAGTATTCAGTCTATGTGACGTCCTACACTGTTTCTTAAATAGCTTTTAAGAGTGATCTTTAGTTGTATTAGATGATGCTAAAGAAAAAAAGATTCATCCAGTTGATATCATCAATACCATGTAACGCTTTGTAGACTTGAAACATGCTGTTTCTGTCTCAACGATACTCAAACGTTGGCAATCCCTATGAACGTATGTTTCGACGGTATTTCAACGTTGGCAATCCCTATGAACGTATGTCGACGGTATTTCAACGTTGGCAATCCCTATGAACATAATCTATCCTCATAACTCAAATGATTTATATCCTTAAGGAGTTTAGTGGCCCTTCTTTGGACAGATTTCAATTTATAAATATCTTTTTTAGGGTGCTGAGACCAAACACATGTACATGTAGCATATTATTGACTATTGTGTTGTCTGCTTCTGATTATTATTGGGCCCCATAGTATCGTAGTTCCTTCTTTTGCAAATGTTTGCTGTTAAAGATAATTCAATTATTAAAACGTTGTATATATTTTAATGTCAATGAATGTAGGGTGACATTTTATTTACCATTCTCTTGCCATTTCTTTATATGCCTTCTTAATTTCTTTTTGTGTTGCTGTTTTTGAAACCCCAAGAACTTTGTACAGATTCTCTGTACTGGCAGAACCAACACAGAGGCAAGCGACTAAAATTAAATATGCTATCTTCATGATTCTCTGTCAACACCAGGAAGGCCTGAGAACACTGGTCGTAATATTGCGTTAGGGGGTAATTAACAACTTTCTGAGTCAGGAAGATTTATTTAGACTGTGTCAATATTCTAGCATTGAATAAACGCCGAAATGACATTCAATATTTTTTTTATATCAAGTTTATTCGTACCACAAATAGTGTCGTGCCCGAAATTTGTTTCCTCTAATTTTGTCACTATTTTTACATTTCCCAACCGATTGTGAAAAAAATTGTTCTCCTCACCAGTGAACGATATCTGTTCTCAGCAAATGATTGGTCGACATTTAAGTGCCAGTCTTTGTAAGAATCAGGCAATTATGAAAAAAATCAAAACATGGCCGAAAAAAACCCACCGACCTAACCATCCTATTTTGAAGTTACCCTCATCCTGAGTTAGAAATGGTAGGTCTTTCGTTTCTGCATGTCTGGTAATTCGAGAAATCTCTAGATAAATTTTGGTTAGAATGATAGCAAATTACGGAGTTAGCTCCCCTTAATTTTTCATTTCTAGTGCATTTCAACCAAATTATATCTTGAATTACCAGAACAGGACAAGGAAACGAATGTTATATTCATGCACTATTATACATTTTGAACAAAAATTAATGTCAACCTGGGTGGGTTTTTGTTTGTCATGTTTTCACCTTTGCCTGATTCTTAGGCAGATTGGCACTTAATTAATTTTCTTGATTTCTTCTGAAACTCCTATTGTGACGTCATGAAAAAAGGCCACCATGCCTGATGACGTCACATATAAATTACACAACTTTCTGCAAATCTTTGAAAAGGAAGGATAAAAATTCATTAGAGAAACAGATTCCACCACTATAACTCGTGTATTAGTACGATATTTCTCCACTCTCAGCAGTTAAATTTTAATTATTTAAAGAGCTCGGCAACTCGGCCTCGGGCTTTGAATATAAAAATTTAACTGTCTCGAGTGGAGAAATATCATTACACACTTGTTGCAGTGATGGAATCTATATTGAACTGACTGACAAATACAATAACAGAACTGAAATACAATCAGTTAAACTTGATGTCATGAAAAAGAAGTTCCTCAGTCCATAATATAAATTCCAAGTTGAAGAAACATTCTGTTATATTATTTCCACTGGAACAAATATTTAAGTATTAATTTGTTCCTTACGGAAGGGTATAGAATATTTGTTCAAACAGGAACAGAGATTATGCTGAGAGATTATGGCATTGACTATAACAAAGTTTCCAGTGGAACTTCTGTTAGGGGGAACAAATACGTTGATACTTTAACTGAAAATGGAAAAAAATATGAGCCATTTGTCACGAGTTGGATCTTCACTACAGGGTTTGTTCGCCGGGAGGCTTTCTTCCGTTCTTTATATACCGTGGGCTTTTTTTCAATGTGTACTTCTTTTAATATAGTTTCTGGGGCTTTATAATTGTGTCCATTCTGCATTTATGTTGAACTTTTCATGTAAGTGAACTATCGATAACCAAGGTTTGAAAGACATATCTTTGACACTTGTAAGCCGAGAAAGTTGTTTTCAATTCTGTTAAAAAAGTTTCAACAAATATACCGACCTCCAAGACCAAGGTGATTTAAAAAAGGGGAAAAGTTAAAAAAAAAAAACTGTCAAAGTAAAATGATCAGCTCTATCATAACCAACGGAATGAAAGGAAAACAACTGTCATATTCTTGACTGGGTACATAAAATTGAGAATGGAAATGGGGAATATGTCAAAGAGACAACAACCCGACCAAAGAGCAGACAACAGCCGAAGGCCACCAATGGGTCTTCAACGCATGCATTTTACAATTGGTGGGTATATGATAAGCAGCATCAGCATATAAGATTTATTTAAAGTCGGGTATACATATAACGATACAACATAAGCTCTTAATTTAGAGCTTTTAACCGACATACATATATATGATAAACACAAGATATAAAACACATAAAACAGAAAACACATCAGGCAAAGCATAAATACTGGTATCAAAGCACGGAAAATTATAACAATTAATAATCAAATCAAAACATATCAAAGCTCGTCAAGTTTATAGCTAGCTAAACCTCCCGAGCGAGTTCTTTTTACATTGTTTTAGTTCCGATATATTGACGAAAACCCAAACAGGAATGTTTGCATGGTTAAGTGGCAATAATTGGGGTCCAGCAGCCAAAACGGTATAAACATACAGCACAGACATACAACACACAATGATAAAACGAACTGTTAGCAGAATGCCCTATTTTACTTTTTTATATTGAATTTCATAATTTTTTTTTATTATAATTCATTTAAGGTAGCACTGTACAAAAGCAACTAAATTTTATCTTTTATTTGGTTGGTTTTGTCGTTATGTTGCTATGATGTATACCCACATCTTCTATTATTCATATTACATCTAGAAATTGAAATTAAAGGTCTGTGAAAATAAGATTTATGGTAAAACAGACAGTGAAAATAAAATTTACGGTAAAACAGACGACTTCAGTTTTTTTCAATTGTGAACTTTTATTTTCTGTGCAGCACCATTCCAACAGCACCTATATAAATTATACATCTTCCAGTTGAAACTATATTCCATGGTGTTTCCTATTACAATTAATTTGATAGACAAGGAATTAAGCTATTGAACCAATGGTTCCTAATAATAACGTTGAACATGAGTTATCCTTCAAAAGTTTTACTTACGCATTTACGCCATTAGTGTTTGGCTGACCGTTATGAAATATCTGTATAATAATATGAGATTTGGTATGATTACCAATGAGACAACTATCCACCTGAGTTCAATTAAGTAAAGTAAATGGACGCAATTATAAGCAACCGTACGGCCTTCAACAATGGAAAAAACTCATACCGTATAGTCGGCTATAAAAGGCCCCGACATGAAAAATTTAAAGAAAAATGCACAGATGACTATGGATATAACCCCCTTGTAGTATAGTCACAATCCCGTCCTCTTTCTATCATTATGCGACTTATCCACGATCGAAATTTACCGTATTTTACTAAAGGGTACTGTATGGTCTTAACAATTAGCAAACCATACCGTATATTAAGCTATTATTGGTCCGCATGGCAAAATGTGAAACTACTAGTATTCAAAGGAGAAAACCAATGACCTAATTTATCTTAAAGACAAAAAAGGAAAAACAAATATGACAGACAGCGACCAATGTCAATCACAGAATTACACGCTCTTGACTTGGACAGGCAAACAAAAAAAAGAATGTGGTGGGCTTAAACAGAGACATATTTTGTATACATCTCTGGCTTAAACATGATTCAGAGCGCTCAGCACTCCCTTTATCGTTCTTGGACAAAAGTGTAACAGCACAACATAAGAACGCACGATAAAAATAAGTTGGAAAAATGCTTGAATTGTTAGACATTTGTCATTTTGGGGCCTAATATAGCTGACTATGCGGTATGGGTTTTGCTCATTGTCGAAGGCCGTACGGTGACCTATAGTTGTTAACTTCTATGGTATTTGGTCTCTGGCGGAGGGTTGTCTCATTTGAAATTATACCACATCTTCTTACTTAAATATTAACCGTTATCAGATTGACATTAAACACACACGAACAACTAACAAAAGACAGAACACACACGGTATATGTAGCTAAATCATTGCTTTTTAGTGGACTGTTTGTTGTTTCGACGTTTTTCTTTTGGCGATGATATTGCCTGTTTTTTTAGGGGGGATTATGTTTTGTAATTCTCCTTTGTTTCTAACCCTCTTTTTATGTTTTGTAATTCTTTGATTCTCACCCCCTTTTGTCAGTTTTACAATACATTCTATACAGCTGTGAGTTTTCATTGTTTGCTGTGCTGAAAGAAAACAATATTGGAGACCCTAATTTTCTTCTTTTTCTCTACGAATTTTCCCCTATGAATATTCTTTGATCTGATTTTCCAATAGTTTTAAAAAGCCTTCTTTCAGATGACTGTTAACTTTAATTTTTGATTAATTTGTTTTTCCCTCCCCATTTAGTAACAGTCGGAAATGTTTGCAATATACGTAGAAGATATCCATGCCATGAAGATTTTTTTACTTTCGTAATGATTTCTTGGTTTGATCATAATAACTCTGTAGCAAGAGCAATTTTTATAAAAAATCCAAGCCAGTTCGAATACAAGATAATGTTTTTCTTTTATATCAGAAATTCGTAGGAACAGAGCAAGTTTGCCAATACAGCAAAAGTAAGTAGATTTTTGTTTTGTTTTAGCAGACCTTATTTTAATATACAAAACTTAACATCAAGTTTTTCAACAATTAAATGTTGCCATATTTTGTCTGATCATGGAAGTATTATAATGGTTCATTTTACTTCCATGATCTGATGATGTGATACTGTTTCTGAATCTTGCTATATTTGAGTTAAAACGTGTCCAACATTTTATTACCATAAAGTAAAACGGGCTTGATTGTGTGATCAAATACTTGTATATATGAAAATAAGAAGATGTGGTATGTTTATTTTTTATGAAAACAGTCTTTCAAGATTTTGGTTTTAGTATTGGATTAACACCATTAAGTTATAGCGATATCAAGTTTTAGCCATGTGCCCTTTGCAAAGTACAGAAGATAACAGAATCGGCATCTAATTATCAATTGAAATGCTAACCATTTTACATAGCACAGGATCGGGACAGCTCATATTCTGATCACTGTCTCTGAAATTTCTGTATTCTAAATTTCCATTTTGAGGTGATTTTCAAAAGCAGACCTACCAACTATCTCGCCCATGGGGGATATCCCCATGGCAGGGGTTGACCTGACTATTTAAATCCTCTATCATATGAACTTAGAACCTCAAAATAGTTATTCAAATGAGTTTAATGGTATTTATGTACATATATACTCCTTAAAAATATCATAGTATATCTTATTAAATATACTTTAAACATGTATAAAACATGCACTAATTCCTCTTGTGCGGCTTAAAATCCCCCATGAAGGATTTGAAAAGTTGGCAGGTATGCAAAACTATTGTTGATTTAATAAGCATTTCAAATTATTTTCGAATATGTGTTTTTATTAATTCAATTGAAATATAATCATGGCAAACGCTAATTACGGTCGCGATCGAAACCAAGGCGCTCATAAATTAGGCCGAATTAAGTTAGGGGCGAGTTATCACATCCTTATTTTTGTAAAACGGAGTTTCGCATATCATTGTTAAAGTGTCAGTTTATAGCATATATAATTGCTTTAAATGTTGTAATGAATTGGCTTTTATGTTTTCTCTAAAATATTATAATTTAAACTTAAAGTTCCTTATTTTTCGTTCAAAATTCGAAACTATTTGCATAGTGAAAATAGAAGAAATTGAAAGTGGTTGTGAAACAAAAATATCAATCAAGTATGGTTCTCCGTTTGTAATTAATTTATTTTGACATGACAATTACTGAGTTGTCTGTCTTCTAGTTTGCGAAATATTTTGTTCAGCAAAGTTCCCCAAAAAATATTCAGTGTTTTCTGAACAGAACAAAATGTAAATCCTGCATGTTTCCTAAGTTAGCAATTATAGATAGTTTATAAATTATGGCTTTGGTCATTACACATTAAGTTAAGTTTAAGGTCCAGTCTTACCCCTATCATCTCACAAAAACTATTGAACTCGAAATAAAGGGTTATATATCTGCCTTTCTTTTCAAAGAACTATACAATTACAGGTTGGGAACAACCCCCCAATGTAATGACTATCCCATTTATGAGGGGTACATTTCAAGTGATAAAAAATATTTTTTTGTAAAAACCACCTTTTAGTACAAATGAGCCAATATTTATATTATTTAAAGAAACTTTTCCCAAAGAACTATACAGTGGGTCTCATTAAGGTCTAAGCGTGACACGGGATTGCCGATTTTTTGTAAGCGTGACACGTGAAAGTCAAATTATTGCGCCGTGAAAACGGGAAATGAAGTCTAGCGGGACACGGGAAATTACAAAAAAATGAGAATTGCTTACGTACATAGTGTAAGCGGGATACGGGAATCCGACAAAGCAGTAAGCGGGATCCGGGATCAGAACCCCCCAATGAGACCCTCTATACATCTATCTGCCAGATAATCTGATATTATATGATCAAAACATGTCCAAGAATTTTGTAATATTCCTGGACCTATATCTTCCTTATTATTAAAAATAAGTGGAACCCTTCTTTAGCAAAGTAGTTCCAAATATAATAAATTTTTCCCTTTTTAAGTTCAAAAATCGAAGTTTTTCTTTGTTCTTGTTTACAACAGTAAAACGACCCCTTGTCTCAGGGACAGTCCCTCATTTAAGGGATATTCCTCATTTGGGGGGTTGTTCCCAACCTGCTATAATTTATAAATGCCATAGTGGTGCTTCCCCTAAACAGGTTGGGGACAACCTGTCAAATGGGGAATAATTTCCTAAAATATCTTAACAATCCCTGAATTGAGGAATGTTTTTCTAGTGTTAAAATTATTTTTATTAATTCAAATTTCAAACTTGAAAATGGACCCTAGCTATAGATGCATGTTAAACACAGCAACATTGTCAAAATATGAATATTATAGACATTTTTAGACATTAACTGAAACGTATAAAGTTACAAGCCGGGGTTGAACACTCGAAGTTAAGTTAGACAACCCAGGGAAAATCAAGCTTACAATCAGTGCAATTTCAGAAAAAACAATTAATTTTATTATATTTTCTTTAAATGACAAAATCATTGGAAACAGTTGAGTTTACCCCCAAATTGCACTGATTGTAAGCTTGATTTAACTTCTTTTAGTTGCTTTTACTTGAAAAAGTACCAGATTGTCCTACCACAAAGTAAGTAACCTGTTGAAAAATTTATATACTCTGGGGACAAAATTCAATAAATAAATATGAAATTAGTCTATTGTTTTACTGAGCTTATGTATATCATACCACATCTTCTTATATCTATATTATGTAAAATTTCTGATTTCTTGAACAATTTTTCTCGGGTGAGGATAAATTTTACACTTAAAGTGGGTTTTTGATGCAGATTTGTTTTATATCATACAATTCTTTTTAATTTTTTTTCAGAATGGCAGATTTAGACTGGGGTGCATCTGTAGATGAACAAGAACAAAAATTAACAGCTAAGGTAAACAGATATAGCTTTTTCTGATCTCAAACATGTTAGAAGGGCTATAGATACAAAAAAAAAAGACTTTCATTTTGACGTTTAAATGATGATGGGAGGTGAAATTGTAGTGACAGTGCCACAAATATCAAGGAATTAGTGTCACATGTACCTATAGATTTTAGATGTTATGTTCAGTAGGTATCCACAAAAATAAATAAATTCACAGTATAATGATTTCTAAATATATATATTGTAAAATGAAAGTTGTTCGTAAGAAAATTTTGTCAATCTTCATGTCTAACATGAGGGATAACTTTGAGATGAAAAAAAAATGTTAGCAAGAAAGGTTAGCTAAGGGAACGATGCATTTTAATTTCAATTTATTGGTCCTGTTTATGTAATTATTTAAGGAATATGTCTCTCTACATGCTGCTAAAATAGGCATTGAAGATTTTACAATGTTAACAAATTGATTACTAACTATTCTATGTGTACATGTCAAAGATAGTCATATTTAATGTTTTTATGACTTGTCTACGATAGCAGATAAGCAATTATTTTCCTGTCACTGTGTCCATCCAACTGTCCTGTATCAGGTTAAAGTTTTTGATCCCAGAAGTTCCCCTTAAAGTTATAGTTACATCAACTGGAAACTTGGTATAAATTTTCACCATAATATAAACTTTTAAAATATAATTTTAACCAATATTTTGTGGTTCACCGAACATGGAAATTTGATGGTGCAAGCGGGACATGGTATCTTATATACACATATTGTTGTTTTTATGCCCCCACGAAGCGGTGGGGCCTTAAGTTTTACCCTTGTCCGTCTGAACGTACGTACATCCCAAAATTGGTTTCCGTTCTCTATTTTTGGTGGCATCACTCTAACTGTTCTAGAATTATGCCCCTTTATAAATGGAAAAATTACAAAATTTTTAGTTTCCTTTCTCTAACTTAAGTTTGCCTCAACCAAATGTTATGAAACTTATACACAATGCTTATTACCACAAAACACAGATCAAGTTTGAATTTAAGTGGCGTCACTTTAACCGTTCAAGAGTTATGTCCCTTTATAAATGGAAAAATTGCAAAATTTTTAGTTTCCGTTCTTTAACTTAAGTTTGCCTCAACTAAATATTATGAAACTTATACACAATGCTTATTACCACAAAATACAGATCAAGTTTGAATTTTGGTAGCGTCACTCTAACTGTTCTAGAGTTATGCCCTTTTATCAATGGAAAAATTACAAAATTTTTAGTTTCTGTTCTCTAACTTAAGTTTGCCTCAACCAAATGTTAAGAAACTTATACACAGTGCTTATTACCACAAAACATAGATCAAGTTTGAATTTTGGTGGCGTCACTTCAACCGTTTTAGAGTAATGCCCTTTATAAATGGAAAAATTGCAAAATTTTTAGTTTCCGTTCTCTAACTTAAGTTTGCCTCAACCAAATATTATGAAACTTATACACAATGCTTCTTACCACAAAATACAGATCAAGTTTGAATTTTGGTAGCATCACTCTAACTGTTCTAGAGTTATGCCCTTTTATCAATGGAAAAATTACAAAATTTTTAGTTTCCGTTCTTTAACTTAAGTTTGCCTCAACCAAATATTATGAAACTTATACACAATGCTTATTACCATAAAATACAGATCAAGTTTGAATTTTGGTAGCGTCACTCTAACTGTTCTAGAGTTATGCCCTTTTATCAATGGAAAATTAACAAAATTTCTAGTTTCCATTCTCTAACTTAAGTTTGCCTCAACCAAATGTTAAGAAACTTATACACAGTGCTTATTACCACAAAACATAGATCAAGTTTGAATTTTGGTGGCATCACTTCAACCGTTCTAGAGTTATGCCCTTTATAAATGGAAAAATTGCAAAATTTTAGTTTCCGTTCTCTAACTTAAGTTTGCCTCAACCAAATATTATGAAACTTATACACAATGCTTATTACCACAAAATACAGATCAAGTTTGAATTTTGGTAGCGTCACTCTAACTGTTCTAGAGTTATGCCCTTTTATCAATGGAAAAATTACAAAATTTTTAGTTTCCGTTCTTTAACTTAAGTTTGCCTCAACTAAATATTATGAAACTTATACACAATGCTTATTACCATAAAATACAGATCACATTTGAATTTTGGTAGCCTCACTCTAACTGTTCTAGAGTTATGCCCTTTTATCAATGGAAAAATTACAAAATTTTTAGTTTCCATTCTCTAACTTAAGTTTGCCTCAACCAAATGTTAAGAAACTTATACACAATGCTTATTACCACAAAACATAGATCAAGTTTGAATTTTGGTGGCGTCACTTCAACAGTTCTAGAGTTATGCCCTTTATAAATGGAAAAATCGCAAAATTTTTAGTTTCCGTTCTCTAACTTAAGTTTGCCTCAACCAAATGTTATGAAACTTATACACAATGATTTTTACCACAAAACACAGATCAAGTTGAAATTTGGTGGCGTCACTTTATTTTTTATTGAGTTATGCCCCTTTATAAATCGAAAAATTGCAAAATTTTTAGTTTGCGTTCTGTAACTTAAGTTTGCCCCGACCAAACATTATGAAACCTTTACACAATACTTATTACCACAAAACTCAGATCAAGTACAAATTTGGGTAGCGTCACTTTTATTGTTCTTGAGTTGTGTCCCTTTATAATGTTGTATGCAAGCGGGGGCATCATCTGTGTCCATTGGGACACATTCTCCATTTTGTTATATATTTATGTTTGAGTTTTGTATTTCTTTCTGTAATTTAATGAGTTATTTTATGTTTTATAGTCCTAGAATATTTTAAATCATGAAAGTTTTGCATATTTACTTATGAACATTACTTTCTTTCATTTCTTAACTATTTTTATAGTCCCCAATATATTTGAAATCATGAAAGTTTTGCATAATTACTTTTATTTCAATGGATGAACTATATTTTTATAACATTGTTTAAAGATTAGTGAAGCAAAAAGCTGGGCTGATCAGGTAGAAGAATTTGACATCAATCAGCAGGTATTCTAGCTGTTTACTGTTGTGCTGTGCGCTACACTTCTATAACTTGTAAACATATGCATTAGTGTAAATTCACATCACTTTTGAAAGATCTTGAAAAGCAAAATGAATTCCTCCTTAAAAATGTTTCCTGTCTGAAACCTTTTAGCATGAACTATGACATTCTTCAATTTATTCCTGATGAAAAGATTGAAAAATAATAAGTAGAATCTTTTTCTGAATGAATGGATCCCCCTAAAACACATTTCAGCATAAACTATAGCATTTTCAGTATATTCTTTACATATTATATGCAGGCTTCCATTAATGATAATATATATACTTTGCTTGTATAATTCTTTATAGCAAAACCTGTACATGAAAAAAATCTTTTTGTATTATTAAAAATCCTTGAATTTTACACAATCATGACTGACAAACGTCAAAATCAACTGATTTTTCACTTCCACAATTCTTTGATTAATATTTTTAACAAAGATATTTTTGGCTCATCTAGACAACAATCTCTTATAGTTTTTTTCTACTAATACATGAATTAGGGGCTTCTAGCCTTTTCCAATTTCAATTAAATGTTGTAGAACTGTAAACCATGGTGTGGTTAGAAGCTTTTTTGTAATCTGATAGTCACTTTTATCTTCACACTGTAGTGTACAATAATGTAACTGCACTGCTTTTGATTAAACACTTTTTTTGGGTCTAAAACAAAACAGTAAATAAGTTTGTGTTGTGTTTTCTTCCACTTAACCAGTTTGTGTTGTTAATTGATGTGTCTCAATATTAAGAGGAGATGGGTATATATGAGGACACTGAGGTGCGATGGACACACGGAAGTGTGATGGTCATGGTGAAGTGCGATGATCTTTGCTGAAGTGTGATGGTTTTTTTGGCTGATGTGCAATGGTGTATAGGACGTGTGATGGCTAGTTTAAGATTTGCAGATGTGCAATAATTATGAAAAGTAGATTTTTATGTGGAGGGGGCATTAAGTTTTACCCTTGTCCGTCTGTACATCCCGAAATTGGTTTCCATTCTCTAACTTTAGTTTGCCTTAACCAAATGTTATGAATCTTATACACAATAATTCTGTTTACCATTCAAATTAGGATTATTGTACATGTACCTAGACATGTGAACATGAAAAAAATTGAAAATGTAGTTTATGTAATCCATCGCACTTTAACGTTGTCATCAACGCACTTCGGCGTAGCTATCAACAAGATAGAGTTACAATGCCATCATCTAACTTCAGTGTGATCAAAATCGCACTTCAGCGGCAAACCATTGTATTTCACTGTGGTCATCACGTTTCAGAGTCCTACATTGTACATATATATAAATATAAAAACAAAAGAAAAAACTATTATCTTTTCGTAACTATGATACAAATACTTAAGAATTGATTCCCTTACAGGAATTACCTGAGAACAATTATTTCAAGTGTTAAGCTTTAATATATATAGATATTACACCTTACACCTTTAAGCTTTGCAATACTCTCACATACATGTATATGTGTGTTAAAAAATGTATGTAACTTAATTTTAACTCCAAACTGCAAAGAAATTAAAACTTAATTATATATACATGTAATTATTCAAAATTAAACTGATAAAGAATTTTTTAAAACTTATTTTTATACATTATCTCTAAATTTAAGGTTATGCTGAGAAAATCAAGAGTGGTGCTGGAAATTCAAAGGTAATGGAGCACCACCTTTAAAAAGCCTGTGGTGAACCATGCCTTTATGTTTTTTTCCCACTGGTGCTTATAATCAATGCTTAACCAGCAGGTTAAAAACATTTTAAAATGATAATACTGATCTGATAAGTTGTTTTGCACCATAAACTGTTAATTTCACAATTGTTTTCACAGAAGTATTGAAAACTAAAAGCTGATATTAAAGACTGGCAAAAATCAGTGTATTTACTATACAGTAAATTACAGATTAAACTAGTTTTGTGTAAACCAATTTTCACGGATTGAGGAAATATTGTATTGCTATAGATATTTGATTTCCTTGTTTTATTAGTGTCTGCATAGAAGTCTATAGAAAGTTATTTGTACTTAGTTGAATATTAAAATTCGTGGTACACCTTTGCACACTAATCCACAAATTTTGGTATACCACAAGTAATAATGAAACCAAAGTAGATCAAATTCTGTTCAATCAAAGTTTATTATAGAATAAGTTGTATTGTCACTTGTCAGCAAATGTTAGCCAAAATATATATACATGAGATATGAATTATAAATAATTTAGAAATTCTTAATGGGTGAGTTATAATTGTTAAATATATTGTGGAGACATGTTAGTTTTGATATTGAAACACTGAAGGTAAAAACTAACAGATTTATGTTTACCCTGTGTTTTCAGATATTTATTTTACTCTCTGTTTATTGTATATTGTGTTAATTTTGTCACAAATTTTTAAATTTATATTACAATTTACAATAAGATATTTGTATTTTGTATATATGTCATGTATGTATAAGTAGATGAAGCTTCAGTTTAACTTGAACACCAATACGGAAACAATATGTATTTAGTCTTAGAGCATATTTGTTTTAGTCTGTCTAAAAGAAGGAGATGTGGTATGACTGCCATTGAGACAGCTATCAACCCGAGACTAAATGATGTGGATTAAAGCAACTCTAGGTCATCGTGTGACCTTCAACAATAAGCAAAACTCATAAGGTATAGAAAGCTATAAAAGACCAAGATATGAAAAAATGTGAAACAATTTAAACAAAAACAAAAAACCCACTGCAATGTAAACATATGATACTGATTTCAATGCTTCTGGAATAAGAAAAGAAAAAAAAGCATCAAAAACCAAAAAAGGCTTGAACAGAAGAGTCAAAATCATATGTCTAAAAGGAGGGGAACTTTTGCCTGTAGAAGTTCAACCTTAAGTCCTTAGTTTCAGTACTCTTGTATCTTTTATATATTAAAAAAGAAAGACGCATAAGCATGATAAGACACAAAAGAGACAATAAAAAACATGGTCAAAGAAAAACTGACAATAAATGGCAAAAAAAGAAAAATGGCAAATAAACAAAACAACAATTCACTTAACACAATATAGAAAAGTAAACATTCTAAAGACTGAGCAACAGAAACCCTGCCAAACACTGAGAATTGACAATCAAACTATTATTTATATAATGCCAGGCATAAGTACTTAAGGGCTAACTACTTGGCAGATGATCCCCTCCAGTAGCTGAGAGTCTTGTCAGCAGTGGCGCTGACCCAGTTGTAGTAATGTAAACATATTTTATGTGCACAACACTTTGTTTTGGAATAAATGTCATCAGGTTGTATAAATTTATTGATGTGGAACACTCAATACAAAGAGGAGCCTCAGTGGAAGAGTGGTCTTAGTGGTTCATCAACAGTGATCATTTAAACCTGTCAACACAAAGGTTGTGAGTTCAAACCCTGCTTTGGCATGGTGCGTTGGAATCCAATTTTAATAGACAAAGATTGGAGTCAAACACACCTTGCCAAAGCGCAGTTTGAACTCACAACCTCTGTTACTTCCTTTCCTGCCAAAGGTCTGTGATACTCCTGCTTCTTTCACAAAAAAACTGTCCACCATGATAAAGCCAAGTGTACTGAAAGTGTCCTTTAAGTGCCAATCTGCCTAAAAATCAGGCAGTGGTGAAAACATGACAAACAAAAACCCACTTAGGTTGACATTAATTTATGTTCGAAATGTATAATGGTGGACGAATATAACATTCGTTTCCTTTTCCTGTTCTTGTAATTCAAGATATAATTTGGTTGAAATGCACTAGAAATTAACTATTAAGGGGAGTTAACTCCGTAATTTGCTGTCATTCTAACCAAAATTTATCAAGCAATTTCTTGAATAACCAGACACACAGAAACGAAAGACATATCATTTCTAACTCAGGATGAGGGTAACTTCAAAATAGGATGGTTAGGTCAGTGGGTTTTTTCTACCATGTTTTGATTTTTTTCAAAATTGCCTGATTCTTTCAAAGACTGGCATTTAAGCATCGACGATCTATCAATAAAAAGAACACATTTTAATGGTGCCTGGGGTGTTTTAGAAATCAATGTCATTGTATATAAATTGAACTTTGCCGTGGATTGTTATCATTTTCTTGTGGTTTTGGCCTGTTATCTATTTTCTGCATGAAGAGATATTTCTCGAATCACACTGAATGGAGTTTGAAAGGAAAATTACATTAATTAAGTTGGCATATCCTGCAATGTGTTCAGAAATTGGGCCATTGTTAGGTCAATGATAGCTTTCAAAGGTCACAATAGGCTATTTTTCCCTCATGGCAATATAGATTGGGATTTCTCCAATTATATACAAAACACTCTATGTTTCACCTTTGTCAAATTTGATTCCATTCTGAAGTGTAGGAAATGCTTTAAAACATCTGACATTAATGTTTGAATCGGAACTGGACTCATGACGTCATACTGTTTACATGCAAAAGAAAGGTAGGTGGTTTTAGTGAAACTTTTTGTTTTACAAAAAAAATATTTACCATAAGAGAAATTGATATCAACTTTCATTATTTGATTTCAATAATTACCATGTTTATAATGTAATTGAAATTAAATAAGTTGAACTGATATCAAGTGATATCCTATTCTCACTTGTTCTGAAACATATACTTTTTTTTCAAAGTGTAGGAAAAACAATGATAGATAATTACTGTATACATTGTACTACAGGTTGATAATCTGAAAATAACCAAACCAGAGACAGTAAATGGTGCAGGGTCAGCAGCTAGTGGAGAACCAAAATCCTCTCCTGACCCAGGAGGGGCTGCTGAGGGTGGCCCGGAAGATGCTGGTAAGTCATATCTTAAAAATTATCATTAAAACAGTTTAAAAAAAATTATTAATAAATAAAAGACTCACAGTATTTTTTTGTAAACATATTTTTGTCAAGTCACACACATTTTTATTCACTGTATATGTGACCTGCACATTATAAAAATATAGATTCAGGATATTACTGTATTGTATTGTACCCTTTGCAGAAACCCTTTGTGGGAAACAATGACCACCACTGATGGGGTTCCTGACTTGATGGGCACATTAACATCAACCGAGGACATAGGTTGAACCAGTACACTTATAAATTACGAATGTTCCTGGTTTCGTAAAGCATAGAACATGTTTTAGACTTAGAATATAGAAAATTGTATTTTTGTGGATATTTGATTTCGTGGTTTTGTCAAAATCATAATACAAGCCTATAGAAAATTTGAACTTCATTGAACATTTAAATTTGTATTGAAATGAAAATTGGAAGCCAACAAATAATCATGAATCCACGGTAGTCTTTGATAGAAATACTTGAATATCTTACAGTGTTGAATATTGTTTCTTTCTCTCTTCTACATAGGAAATACAAAAGAAGATGAATCATTGCTGAGAAAATTGATCCACTCAAAGTTGATATCTTCAAAAGCAAATTTAGAAGTTTTACAGAAAGATCCTAATTCTCCATTGTATTCAGTAAAAACATTTGAAGCTTTGAATTTGTAAGTATATTGTTATTTTATTTTTACCACTCAACATGTCTTTAAAAAAGGTTAAAAATTGGTATGTTGATAAATCCTTTCAAATTCAAATCACTGTGGAAAACTGTTAATTGTAAGTAATAAAAAATTGTGTTTGGGGCATTAAATCAGTTGAAACTTTGATACAAAAATCTTTGCCAAAAAATCAAAGTATATGATACAAAAATTAGATTATCTTTGTCTCTCCAAGGTTCACTAGAAATTGCTGTAAATGGCACCCATGGCTATCTATTTAATTGCTGATTGAATTCGCCTTTTCAGAATCAAATGCAGTAATTTCTTCAAAGAAATACAGAATAACACGTGGGTTATTGATAAGTGAACCCTTAACATCAGTTATGTAGATTTGTAAAAACTATTCATGAAGGGGATATGTTCAGGTAGTTTATGTGATCACAAAATAAACAAATATCATCTTGCAAAAATTTCTTCATTTACAGCACATCTTGAATATGGCTTAGAATAAAAAAATAAGGAGTTGAGGTATGATTGCCAATGAGACAACTATCCACCAAAGTTCAAATAAAGTGGATGTAAGCAATTACTGGCAACCATATGGCCTTCAACAATGAGAAAAACCCATACCATAGTCAGCTATAAAAGGCCTTGACATGAAAAATATGAAAGAATTCAATTCAGAAAACTAACAGCCTAATTTCTAAAAAAACAACTAACGAAAAACAAATATGACAGACATGAACCAGTGACAAACCACTGAACTACAGGCTCCTGACTTGGGAGGTCTTTTTTCATGGACTAAAGAAAAACTGTATTTTCAAGGATATTTGATTTCGTGGTTTACGCAAGTCTGCATATATCCTATATTAACATTATTCTGTGTTGAACATTTAAATTCATGATTTACCAGTACCCACGAAATCCACAAAAAAATGGTATGACGTGAATAACAATTAATCCACAGTATTATAATTGAGATTTTAAAGTTTATATCGCTGTAATCCTGATTTTGTTTATTATTATTTTTAGGAAAAAAGAATTGTTAGAAGGTGTTTACAAAATGGGATTCACAGCTCCTTCAAAGATACAAGAAACAGCCTTGCCAACTCTCTTAGCGGACCCGTAAGTTTTGTTGACCTATCATCTGTCTAAAAATATGCAGTAAAAAAGTATTTTCGTTATCCCCAAAAATATATGGAATAAGAATCACTTTATCCATTCATCAGTCCTTCCTTTTGTGTGAAATAGATGGTTATTAATATGATCACATCCTGCTTGGCATAAGCATTACTGGTTGTTTCTACAATTCAAGAGAGACAAGGAAATCAGAAGAATTGATGAATTCCACATGATAACTTTTACTTTTAATACATGCTTTGTTATTTAAGCAAAAGTTAAGCAACCATAAAATTCAGGTAAAGATCGATTTTCAGGTTTACTTGTTATTTCAGGATCTTGATCATATGTGACAACATATTTTCATCTAATACAGTTCAATTTTTAATTTTTATATGTCTGTTTATGGGACGTATTATGGTATACCGTTGTCCGTCTGTCGTCAACATGTCGGACAATAACTCAAAAATGCTTTAACCAATTTGCATGAAACTTTGGTGAATTTTTTATATCTATTGACGTGAGCTGCCTTTTGTTTTTTATAAATTTAGATTTTACGTTTCCGAGTTATGGTGTTTTATTCATTAAAAAAGGGGGATTTTCCAGTTTTCGGACAATAACTAAAAAAACACTTACACCAATTACCAAGAAACTTTGGTGAATTGTTTATATCTATTGACATTAGCTCCCTTTCGATTTTTATAAATTTCAGATTTTACGTTTCCCAGTTATGGGGTTTTATTCATTAAAAAAAGGGGGATTTTCCAGTTTTCGGACAATAACTCAAAAATGCTTTGAGCAGTTTTCGTGAAACTTTGGTGAATTGTTTATATCTATTGACATGAGCTGCCTTTCGTTTTTTATTAATTTAGATTTTACGTTTCCGAGTTATGGGGTTTTATATATGGGTAAAGCCAAAAAGGTGCTCCAAATTGGTCAAATAACCATCTGAAGCTTAAATCCCAATTTTAAAATATTTATTATATGTTATTTGATTACAACTTGTTATTGAGCATCAGTGACATGATGAAGTAGAAGATTTGATAAATATCAAATATCCGCTTATTCAATGTGTCTTGTTATTGAAGTTTGTCAAACGTAGATCTGTACGTTCCTGTGTCCCAAGCGTGACATGGAAACCCCCTTCTAACAAAAAATATACCTGGTTGTTTTTATGGGCAAAAGAAAAACGGAAAGTAAGTTAAATCGTTAGAAAAGTGTTGTTGCACTATAAATCCGTCAAAGTTTTGCGTGAAATGCAGTAACATTAATCAAAGAAACGATTATTTCGACAGGGTTAGTAATGTTATATTGACAATAGACTACAATGGTAAAAATAACGCACGGGGTTTTCCGCGATATCGTCATCTGCGGAACATTTGATTGGTTCCTGTCATATTCATGCGCCGTCGTATCTCGGATGTTTCAAATAGTTCTAGTTTTGGTTTCGTATTCCGTTTTATGAGAAGCATAGAATGGCAAGTTTGTAATGTCAAAATAACGTTAAACGTACGTAAATGTTTATTCCTTATTATTAACGGAAAGAGTTTATCCAGGGAGAAAAAAATACTTTGTTTCATTTCAAAATTGCTATATATACGAAACTAAATGTAAGCATCACTATCATTCATGGATGAAAATGGAAGAAAAACTCGATGGTAAGTTTTGAGCAAAATGTCAAACTAATAACGACCAGGGCGTCAAACAAAGTATAACGACCAAACCATTCTGTCAAATTGACACTGTTTTATATAATTTTTGCCAAAATAATATGCTTAGAATGATAAGAACTAACAAAAATAACGCATTCAAACACCCAAGTCAAACCGTTCGTTCACTTTTTACGGTAACATCGATATGACCGTTACTTGACCAATTTTGTCAACCCAGTCAATATAACACCTAGGATGTAAATGATCTTTGTAGAGATATACTGCACCATTCTTTTCATTTAACTTCTATTTCAACTTACAGATAATAAAGGGGGAAAGTTAATATACATTTAAAAAGGTTGAAGTAATTTTCAGTGCTTTTTCACAGGGTGTTAGTTGACAATTATATGCATAGTCAATATAACCATGGTCATTAAGATAGTTAGTTGGCACCTTAATGTTAGGGTCAATATAACTCCTACTCCCACAGTAGTTCTTTAGCTACTATTACTACTGAATCATGTTGACTTTGGCTTTTAGCCTACAAATCTCTTGTACAATAAAAAAAATAAGCCTTTTAGTGAAATTGTAAGCATATTTCCTGCTTCCTTGAAATAGAGCATAAGTTGACGACTAAATATTCAAGTCAATATAAACATGGTCCAAAAGAGAGTTTAAGTTGACACATTAATTTTAGGGTCAATATAACCTATATGAAATATGTTAAAAGCCAATACTATTATTTTTGTTTGTTTGGTCCTGGCCCTAAGCATAAAAATGTCTAATATCAATTCATATTTAAAGCTTTTAGATAAAATGTGACAAAAAGCAGCACCATTCAGCCTTCAACTCACATAGACCCAAGAAATTCTTAATGGCTAAACAGAATTAGTTAACACTGTAAAAACCACAACCTATATAGATGTAAATACTGCCTTTTATCAAAAGAACATCAACAATAAACAAGAAAACAGATAATTATTACAAGACTTTAACCCATTTCTCTGACGTCAGTCTATTGTTCTTACAGTAGATTATTTTTCAAGAATCCACTGACCACTTCGTTAACTTAAGATAACTTCTTTTATAACTTTAAACTTTTAACTTACGATTTTTTATCCTCTCAAAAACGAGTGGCATATGAAGGGTTCGAACTCGCGCGTATTTTCTTCATAATCAGTAGAGTCTTCAGTCTATGCATGATACCACTATACCACGAGTGCTGACATAAATCAATATTTAAATAACACTCATAAAGCGCACAACTGTCAATACATGTCAATAAACTGTATGTCTGTCTCAGAGATAATTCGCTTTTGTTATCTAATAAAATATATATACTATGTCTGGATTTGTTCATGTTCTTTTCAAATTTATTTAAATTGTTTTATTTTGGACGTTATTTTTTAAGGAAGATTATGTTCTACATTTGAACGTTCTTGATTATAGTTATATAGCAGTATGGAAATATCTTAAAACAGAGTTTATTCACGATGTCAGGTTTGAACATTGGTCGATTTTCAACATCGTTATAATGAACCGATGGGTCTTTATACGATTGTGGCTATTACACACTAGTTCTAAACACTAGAGAATCAAGGAATTGTATATATTAGTGCAATTCCTTGATAAAATAAACATTCATATGCCCATTACACTTGTCACTTTTAACGTACAAGGACTTTTCCTTTTTATCATAGCAAATACTTACTTATGGTTTTAGTCTTATAATGATCATGATGATATCGTAATATCAATATTTTTTTCCTTGTTTGATTATAAATGGTCCAAATATACATCACGTCAACATTGAACGGACTCTAACTTGAATAAAGTGTGATATATAAGCTACGACCGTAAAACTACTTCTTTGATTGTAAAACCAGAAACAAAATCATCGCCTTTAAATGAAAAAGAAGTATATAATACCTCTATGATTAAAACAATATTTTTGTTGAGAAAAAAATTACAATGAAAAAATTTCAATTCGGGTACAAGGTTTGAACTTGGCACTGTTAATGTCACAGCTATGTTTTTCGGTACCAACGACTAGACGATCACGGCTATGAACAGCTTGAATGTAAAAGTTAAAAATTTACATAATTATACATTGTACATCTGTAGCAAGAGCAATTCTGCTGGAGATTCAGAATGCGTACCACAGATAATACTAGTTTATTGACTGGTTTTACGATGGATGCCAAATGTAATAACGTAAAAAATAATCTAAACTTAATGAAAGGGTAACAGTTTAAACAAAAATTCATGTATAATTGTTCAAAAAAGACTTTAAGCAATTATTTTATTTATTTCGGAAAGCATCATTAACTGGAGCATTATGAAATTGTAGTATTATGGCAACTACGCTAAATATATGTATTTGACTTAGTACGGTTAAAATGGTAGACAATCCGTAATCAGCTGTCAACAATAGCAGATTGCTAAATACTATATATGTAAATTTCAAAGGTTTCTAAATTTTGGTAATTACAATTTTTTAACTATTAAAAAAAAAAATAAATAAATTCTGTATATTTATATACTGTGGATTCATTATTATTCGTTGGATACCAATTTTCGTGGGTTTCGTGGGTACAGGTGAACCACGAATTCAAATGTTCAACGAATTACAAATGTGAATTTGGCTTTGTATGCTTAGATTGGCAAAACCACGAAATCAAATATCCACGAAAATGCAAGTGTTCCTCAATCCACGAAAATTGATACCCACGAAAATAAATGAATCCACAGTATGTCTTTTTGAATAAACCATAAATACCAAAATCTATATAATTTAAATACTTTGTAATGATAAAGCATTGAATGAAATATAAATATACAAGTATGAAATCTGGTAATAAAAAGGGGAGCTAACAACCCATTTAAGTTATATTAAACGTATGTTAACTTAAATATAGACGTGAACCGTGTGGATATAATCATTTCCAGCTATTATAAAATAAAAAAGACAAAATACGAAATTATTTTTATGAAATTCCGTTGATTCATTGTCAAAACATAAAACAGACAGTCGTTTTACTAGAAATGGGTTAAGCTAGAGAATTGATAAGAAGTAGTGGATTCGGAAACGATAATCAACTTGCGACTAAAGTCGCTCGTTGATTATCGTTTACGAATCCACTACTTCTTATCAATTCTCTACTACATAACATGCAAGTTTCTGTCTTGAGACGGTGCAACAAGTTTGTTTTTAAGCACTCAACCTCCCCATACCCTTGAATTTGACAATAAAAACATGAATGTAGACACAATGCAAATCAATGTGAAGACTGGTACTTATTTCCAATGCTGTTTTCAACATAGATAACATACAACATCATAAACATAAGAAGATGTGGTATTATTGCCAAAGAAACAACTCTTCACCTAAGACCTAAAGAAGTAAAAAAAAACAATTATAGCGTATAAGGTCACGTTATGGCCTTCAACATGGAGCCTTGACTCACATTTTCATTCATTTCAATTTAAAATCATGTATAAAACTGTTTTAACTTTATTTATTGCTTTTCAGATCTTTGAGATAAATCAACTGAGTATGAACAGTGGAATAGACAGCAGAATGAACTTTAAAATGTTTTTAATTTGTTTAAATAAATGATTTATGGTTTGAATCTTGAATAGTGATTTACTTATTAGTATTGTCATACATTAATGTGTTTAATACTTTACTTTCAAAAGTGTTGATTTAATAAGCTCTTGAAAAAAAATTGTTGAAAACAGTTGATCAATAAAGTCACCATCTGACATAGCCAAGAGTATCATAACTGTACATATTAAATAAGCAACCTTTGACCAAAGTACAAAGTCAGTTCAAGTGAGCCTAATTAACAATACTCCTTAATACCAACAGTAAACAATATGTTCCCCTAAATACTGGGAGCAACTCATTAAGTGTCTGTTTACCATCAGGCTAAGCTAACTCTTGCAGTGCATCGGATAGTTTTATTGGGTTTGAGTTGTTATTTAAGGTTTGTTCTTTTCTTGTTATTTATCTTGATTTCTCCTCTCACTTTTGGATTTGTGAATTAGTGCACCTTTATTTTTCTTGCATTCTATAGTTGTCACTTTGATCTGATAGATCTCAGATAGTTTTGGTTATGAGCTTGTGACTTCATTATTATCTGAACAATAATGAACATGAACCCCTGCATGCATTCAAGAATTAAGTTTGTATCAAAATAAACATAATGGATCAAACTCTTTGTGTTCAGATGTTACCCCAGATTTCCTGTTTTTTTTCAGTAAGTTACTTGACATTGTGTCAATATATAAACTTTACCCATATATAAATTCGTTAAAAAAGGGTGATTTTCCAGTTTTCGGACAATAACTAAAAAAAACACTTTCACCAATTTCCAAGAAACTTTGGTGAATTGTTTATATCTATTGACATTAGCTCCCTTTCGATTTTTATAAATTTCAGATTTTATGTTTCCGAGTTATGGGGTTTTATTCATTAAAAAAAGGGGGATTTTCCAGTTTTCGGACAATAACTCAAAAATGCTTTGAGAAGTTTTCATGAAACTTTGGTAAATTGTTTATATCTATTGACGTAAGCTCCCTTTTGATTTTTATAAATTTTAGTTTTATGTTTCCGAGTTATGGGATTTTATTCATAAAAAGGGGTGATTTTCCAGTTTTCTGACAATATCTTTAAAGTGCTTTGAGCAGTTTTCATGAAACTTTGGTGACTAAGATAACCTCCCTTTAGTTTTTCATAAATTCCTGATATGACATTGAGAAGTTATTGAACTTTATTCTTTGAAAAAGCGACGGGGGTATCATGCGCTCATGGCGCAGCTGTTTATTTAAGATGGTAAACTTTTCTGTTTACAAGGCATGCACATTTTATAAGGAAAAAATCACCAAAAAGATGTTTTCTTTCAAATTCATAAGATAAGCTCTTCATTTGTTTATTATAGACCTGTAAACATGATAGCACAGAGTCAGAGTGGAACAGGAAAAACAGCAGCATTTGTCTTAACAATGTTAAGTAGAGTTGATATCAGCAAAGATTATCCCCAGGTTTGTATTGGTTGTGGCATATTTTCATAAAATCTCATTTAAAGGTACATGGTGGTAATAAATCAAAAATAATAGAATGTTTTAACACTTTACCAAAATGTAGTTTATATCATGCTATTTTCAAAAATATGGGTCACAAATTTTTTTTTTCAAGGTTGAGGTTTTCATGTTCAATTAAGTACAAGTTTCCTATTATGCTTGTATGCAGACATTGGCAAAACCACAAAATCAAATATCCACGAAAAATGTATATTTTTCCACAATCAACGAAAATAAATCAATCCACAGTACTATATTTTTCTATGATATATTTTGAAAAGTAATGTTGAAACAAGTAAAAAAAATAGCAACCACATGACAAAAATAATTTAATGTTTGATTTTATTTTACATTTTAGTGTCTCTGTTTAGCACCCACATATGAATTAGCTTTACAGATTGGACAAAATGTTGAACAGATGGGACAGAAAATGACAGGACTCAGAATTGGTTATGCTGTCCGAGGAGAAAGAGGTAATTTAGTCATTCTGTCTTGTAGTGTTGTATCAATAGACGACTTTTGAATTTGTGTACTTTCCCGTACATTTCCTATGTCACAATGCATGTGTTATTACGGCACAGTAAGAACTGATTATTCAATGACGTCTTTTACACCGATTGACCATTATTACTCATTCATAAAAAACAATTTGAGATTGGTGTATAGTCAAGTACATGTATAATGAAAAATTGAACATTTATCGTTAAAAAAAAATGTTATTAAGCTCAAAAATAAACTTTCAAACAATTAATTACCTCATTAAGGTACATAAGTTTATGTGATATATGAATAAGAAGAGATGTCTGGTATACATCAAGCCTCTCTGGTCTTGTGGTAGCTTGCTTGCCCTCATTGCCAGAGGTTGTGGGTTTGATCCTCAGCAAGTCGAACCAAAGATTTGAAATTTCTTACCAGAAATGGTGTCATGTAGTCCTGCAGACTGGTACCTTGTGATCTAGTAAGTTAAAAGTCTTGGTCAGTGTGTTGGTCCAAGTAAAGCAGGGTTCATACTACAACATGTTAACATGTTTCTTTTCTTAAATATTCATTAAACTTGCCACTGGAGATTTAACATCCATCCGTTATCATCATCATCATGGTACACACAAATGAGACATCAACCCAACAACACAAAAACCAAAAGATATCTAGAGTTTAATGTAGAGTTAACAATACACACAACTGTCTATGTCGAGCTCTAAAAGGCCAGAGTATAGCATTGTCTAGAAGATCTTAGGGCAGTTCCAAAATTTATCTTGTGGGAGGATGGGAGGCACTCAAATTAATTAAATATTGGTGGTTGCCATGGCTTCCAAAATTTCCTGACGACAGCCGGACATTTTTCAAAGAAATATTTTTGACGGTCAATGATCAGCTGGATACTTAAATGTAACTGAGAGGATGCATAAATTGATATATGTGTCTAAATAATTAGTAGTGTTATATGCAATAAAATTATTTATAACTGTTTTGTTTTCTTCATTCTAAAAATAAATAAAATATTATCCTCGGTATTGTGTCATTTTTCTGTGTATCGTAATACAGTAATCATCATTGCATCAATCAGCTTCAGTACCTGACTGTTCTCATGTTTTTGTGTCTGTTTATATAATCTATTTTCTCTCTGTGAGTACTTAACACTTTGTAAATTAAGGCCATCTTATTTGAAACTGTTGATGTTGGCTTTAATTGCAGTACAACTTGATCATCAATACATGTGATACTTTTCTTTTTGTGTATTGATTACCTGACCACGTGACTTTTACAACTGATGCGGTATTTATAGATAACATTGAGGAGGCCCAATGAAGGATATTGTTTTAAACCGTGTAAAATCTACTGAACAGTGATAACATTTATCTTTGTACGATTTCGAATTTTGATCGGAATCGTCACGTTTACGTTTGCCCATGATGGCAGATTTGTAAAGTTCAATTTGAGACAAAGTCTTTATAACAGTCGGAGATTGTCATGATTGGATATTATTAAGTCTCCCAAACGAAGTTTGGGAAGACTTATTGTTTTTGCTCAGTTCTTATTATTATTATTATTCTTCTTCTTCTTCTTCTTCTTCTTCTTCCGCCGCTTTTAAATTTGAACTTGTCCGCACCCGTTCTCCAAAACCGCTTGTCAGATTAACTTAGGGTTTCATAATATGTTAGACTAACATGTCTAGTGGTGCAATCAGGGTTTTGTTTGTGCAATGGGGTTTATAAAGGGGTACTTTGAGGGGCAAAAAGAAAAGAGGGTTTTACTATAGAACCCTATGGGATTTTATTTTTTTAAATTTTCAAATGATTATAAATTGAAAACCGTTTGTGATAGAAACAATCTTTTTAATTGAAAATGTTCTAAATGATAAAGTCCATTAAATGAAATACAGGGTTAGTCCCCAGGGGTCACCCCCCACCCCCTGCCATTTAAGAAAGTTCTAATACCTTGTAAATGGTCAAGATCCCCACCCCTAAACCATATATATTCTGGTTTGTCATGCTAAGATTGTTTGATTGATATACAGGGTTAGTCCCCAGGGGTCATCCCGACCCCCTGCCATTTGAGAAAGTTCTAATATCTTGTAAATGGTCGAGATCCCCACCCCTAAACCATATATATTCTGGTTTGTCATGATAAAGCACATCAAATGTAATACAGGGTAAGTCCCCAGGGGTCACCCCCACCCCCTGCCATTTAAGAAAGTTCTAATATCTTGTAAGTGGTCAAGATCCCCACCCCTAAACCATATATATTCTGGTTTGTCATGCTAAGATGGTTTGAATGATATACAGGGTTAGTCCCCAGGGGTCATCCCGACCCCCTGCCATTTGAGAAAGATCTAATATCTTGTAAATGGTCAAGATCCCCACCCCTAAACCATATATATTCTGGTTTGTCATGATAAAGCACATCAAATGAAATACAGGGTTGGTCCCCAGGGGTCACCCCACCCCCTGCCATTTAAGAAAGTTCTAATATCTTGTAAGTGGTAAAGATCCCCACCCCTAAACCATATATATTCTGGTTTGTCATGCTAAGATGGTTTGAATGATATACAGGGTTAGTCCCCAGGGGTCATCCCGACCCCCTGCCATTTGAGAAAGTTCTAATATCTTGTAAATGGTCGAGATCCCCACCCCTAAACCATATATATTCTGGTTTGTCATGATAAAGCACATCAAATGAAATACAGGGTTAGTCCCCAGGGGTCACCCCCACCCCCTGCCATTTAAGAAAGTTCTAATACCTTGTAAGTGGTCAAGATCCCCACCCCTAAACCATATATATTCTGGTTTGTCATGCTAAGATGGTTTGAATGATATACAGGGTTAGTCCCCAGGGGTCATCCCGACCCCCATGCCATTTGAGAAAGTTCTAATATCTTGTAAATGGTCGAGATCCCCACCCCTAAACCATATATATTCTGGTTTGTCATGATAAAGCACATCAAATGAAACACAGGGTTAGTCCCCAGGGTCACCCCCACCCCCTGCCATTTGAGAAAGTTCTAATATCTTGTAAATGGTTGAGATCCCCACCCCTAAACCATATATATTCCTATTTGTCATGTGTCGAACATTTGAATGACGTATACGGTCAGTCCCCAGGGGTTCCCCCCACCCCCAATGTTCTAATATCTTGTAAATGGTTGAGATCCCCACCCCTAAACCATATATATTCCTGTTCGTCATGTAATGAACATTTGAATGACGTATAGGGCCAGTCCCCAGGGGTTCTTCCCCACCCCCAATGTTCTAGTATCTTGTAAATGGTTGAGATCCCCACCCCTGAACCATATGTATTCTGGTTTGTCATGCCAAGATTATTTGAATGATATACAAGGTTAGTCCCCAGGCATCACTAATGCATATAACTTTACTGGACCAAACCAATTTTCACTGGAAGTTGCCCAATGTCAGGCGACCCTGGGAATTACGAATTATGGGAGCTTCGTTTGGGAGACTTCGTAACAGCATCCTGTTACAATCATTTCTTGTTCTTTATGATTTTAATTATAAAAACAGTTTTTAATATGAAAACAAGAATAGAGAACGCCCCCCTTATTTATTGGACAACTCAGCTTGGTATACCCAAGCAAAGCTATTCTCGGTGTTTTTCCTATATATTTTAGTAAATTTTCCCCTTGAGAGTACCCCAGTATTTAACACGATGTACAGTGTTAAATAAAATAATATATATCATACTTATTCTTTTATAAATATCCTTATTTGAAGAATAACTTTTAAATATCAGGATACTTTTTTAAACTGATTGCTCATTTAAAATAATATCTATAAAGCGTAATTAAATAGGATGTTGTTCCATACACGCTTACATGTTTGACCTCGTTTACCTGATTACCTTTATGTACATTGTTATGCATCATTAATTCTATTGATAAAGACAAGCTAAGGACACCTCATCAAAGGTAACAAACCTGTAATCAGTGAATGATTTATGGCTTCAATATAACTTATTGAAGGGATAATTGTTTGACAGCTTGTTGTTATTTAAATAAAAGAAAACGTGCTTTTTATACGACCGCAAAAATTGAAAATTTTTTGGTCGTATATTGGTATGACGTTGGCGTCGTCGTCGTCGTCGTCGTCGTCGTCTGGCGTCGTCCGGCGTCGTCCGAAGACACATTGGTTTTCGCACTCTAACTTTAGTTTAAGTGAATGGATCTCCATGAAATTTTACCATAAGGGTCAATACCACGAAAGGAAGGTTGGGATTGATTTTGGGGGTTATGGTACCAACAGTTAAGGAATTAGGGGCCAAAAAGGGGCCAAAAATAAGCATTTTTGTAACTTCCAGACAATAACTTGTGTGTAAGTGTATGGATCTCTCTGACATTGTACCACAAGGTTCCATATCACAAAGGGAAGGCTGTAATTGATTTTGGGGGTAATTGCCTCAAAATTTTAGGAATTAGGGGCCAAAAAAGGGGCAAAAAACAAGCATTTTTCTAGTTTCATGAAAATAACTTGTGTGTAAGTGTTTGGATATTTCTGAAATTGTACTACAAGGTTCCATATCACAAAGGGAAAGCTGGAATTGAGTTTGGGGGTAATTGCCTGAAACGTTTAGGAATTGGGGGCCAAAAAGGGGCCAAAAATAAGCATTTTTCTAGTTTCCAGACAATAACTTGTGTTCAAGTGTATGGATCTCTCTGAAATTGTACTGCAAGGTACCATACCACAAAGGGAAGGCTGGGATTGAGTTTGGGGGTGATGAATCATAAGGGGGTTCAAAAAATTTGGGGGGGGGGGGGGGGGGTTTCTTTTTTTTTCTTTTTTTCCTTTTTTTTTTTCTTTTAAAATTTTCCATTTTAAGTTGGTTATTTCTGATTAATATTTAAAAGCAAATAATAATGATATGGTAGGAGATACACACCAAACAGGATGTGTAAATTATTATATAATAAGTATTGTGCAATAGCAAGAAATTTTCAATTGCACAGTATTGCACAATTGCAAGAAATCTTCAATTGCACAGTATTGCGCAATAGCAAGAAATCTTCAATTGCACAGTATTGCGCAATAGCAAGAAATATCCAATAGCACAATATTGCGCAATAGCAAGAAATTGTCAATTGTACAGTATTGCACAATAGCAAGAAATATTCAATTGCACAGTATTGTGCAAAAGAAGATACTTCGTATAAATTGCTTATTTCTTGATCAATTTCAATGGGGTTTTATTCTTGAATTCTTGGGGTTCTTTAATATGCTGAATCTAACCGTGTATTAAGTTTTTGGATTTTGGGCCCCGTTTTTAAATTGGTCCACATTGAGGTCCAAAGGGTCCAAAATTTAACTTTGTTTGATTTCATCAAAAATTGAATTATTGGGGTTCTTTGATATGCCGAATCTAACCGTGTATTTAGATTCTTAATTTTTGTTTCCGTTTTCAAATTGGTCTACATTAAGGTCAAAAGGGTCCAAAATTAAACTTAGTTTGATTTTAACAAAAATTGAATTTTTAGGGTTCTTTGATATGCTGAATCTAAACATGTATTTAGATTTTTGATTATGGGCCCAGTTTTCAAGTTGGTCCAAATCAGGGTCCAAAATTAAACTTTGTTTGATTTCAACAAAAATTGAATATATGGGGTTCTTTGATATGCTGAATCTAACCATGTATTTAGATTTTTGATTTTTGGGCCCCGTTATCAACTTTGTCCACATTAAGGTCAAAAGGGTCCAAAATTAAACTTTGTTTGATTTCACCAAAAATTGAATTCTTGGGGTTCTTTGATATGCTGAATCTAACCATGTATTTAGATTTTTTATTTGTGGACCCGCTATCAAATTGGTTCATATTGAGGTCAAAAGGGTCCAAAATTAAACTTTGTTTGATTTCATCAAAAATTGAATTATTGGGGTTCTTTGATATGCCAAATCTAACCGTGTATTTAGATTTTTAATTTTGGGTCCCGCTTTTAAATTGGTCTACATTAAGGTCCAAAGGGTCCAAAATTAAACTTAGTTTGATTTTAACAAAAATTGAATTCTTGGGGTTCTTTGATATGCTGAATCTAAACATGTGTTTAGAATTTTGATTATGGGCCCAGTTTTCAAGTTGGTCCAAGTTGGGGTCCAAAATTAAACTTTGTTTGATTTCAACAAAAATTGAATATATGGGGTTCATTGATATGCTGAATCTAAACATGTATTTAGATTTTAGATTTTTGGCCCAGTTTTCCAGTTGGTCCAAATTGGGGTCCAAAATTAAACTTTGTTTGATTTCAACAAAAATTGAATATATGGGGTTCTTTGATATGCTGAATCTTACCATGTATTTAGATTTTTTATTTGTGGGCCCGCTATCAAATTGGTTCATATTGAGGTCAAAAGGGTCCAAAATTAAACTTTGTTTGATTTCATCAAAAATTTAATTATTGGGGTTCTTTGATATGCCAAATCTAACCGTGTATTTAGATTTTTAATTTTGGGTCCCGTTTTTTAAATTGGTCTACATTAAGGTCCAAAGGGTCCAAAATTAAACTTAGTTTGATTTTAACAAAAATTGAATTTTTGGGGTTCTTTGATATGCTGAATCTAAACATGTGTTTAGATTTTTGATTATGGGACCAGTTTTCAAGTTGGTCCAAGTTGGGGTCCAAAATTAAACTTTGTTTGATTTCAACAAAAATTGAATATATGGGGTTCTTTGATATGCTGAATCTAAACATGTATTTAGATTTTAGATTTTTGGCCCAGTTTTCAAGTTGGTCCAAATTGGGGTCCAAAATTAAACTTTGTTTGATTTCAACAAAAATTGAATATATGGGGTTCTTTGATATGCTGAATCTTACCATGTATTTAGATTTTTTATTTGTGGGCCCGCTATCAAATTGGTTCATATTGAGGTCAAAAGGGTCCAAAATTAAACTTTGTTTGATTTCATCAAAAATTGAATTATTGGGGTTCTTTGATATGCCAAATCTAACCGTGTATTTAGATTTTTAATTTTGGGTCCCGTTTTTTAAATTGGTCTACATTAAGGTCCAAAGGGTCCAAAATTAAACTTAGTTTGATTTTAACAAAAATTGAATTTTTGGGGTTCTTTGATATGCTGAATCTAAACATGTGTTTAGATTTTTGATTATGGGACCAGTTTTCAAGTTGGTCCAAGTTGGGGTCCAAAATTAAACTTTGTTTGATTTCAACAAAAATTGAATATATGGGGTTCTTTGATATGCTGAATCTAAACATGTATTTAGATTTTAGATTTTTGGCCCAGTTTTCAAGTTGGTCCAAATTGGGGTCCAAAATTAAACTTTGTTTGATTTCAACAAAAATTGAATATATGGGGTTCTTTGATATGCTGAATCTTACCATGTATTTAGATTTTTTATTTTGTAGGCCCGCTATCAAATTGGTTCATATTGTGGTCAAAAGGGTCCAAAATTAAACTTTGTTTGATTTCATCAAAAATTGAATTATTGGGGTTCTTTGATATGCCAAATCTAACCGTGTTTTTAGATTTTTAATTTTGGGTCCCGTTTTTTAAATTGGTCTACATTAAGGTCCAAAGGGTCCAAAATTAAACTTAGTTTGATTTTAACAAAAATTGAATTCTTGGGGTACTTTGATATGCTGAATCTAAACATGTGTTTAGATTTTTGATTATGGGACCAGTTTTCAAGTTTGTCCAAGTTGGGGTCCAAAATTAAACTTTGTTTGATTTCAACAAAAATTGAATATATGGGGTTCTTTGATATGCTGAATCTAACCATGTATTTTGATTTTGGACATTGGACCATAATAGGTAAATTAAAAAAATTGAAGTTCTTAGACCACATTCATTCTGTGTCAGAAACCTATGCTGTGTCAAATATTTAATCACAATCCAAATTCAGAGCTGTATCAAGCTTGAATGTTGTGTCCATACTTGCCCCAACTGTTCAGGGTTCGACCTCTGCGGTCGTATCAAGCTGCGCCCAGCGAAGCATTTTATTCTACTTTTGATTGATGTACACAAGCTAAAGACCAAGCTGTACATTTATGTACCCAGAGGATTAGACTAACTGAGACACTTCAAAGTATCTGAAATATGCTGCTTCTGTTTTATTAAACCCAATAATGACCGAAATATCTTTGTGAAATAGATTGCCACAATTATAAACTAAAATGCCCAAACGGACATGCCCAAGGCCCCAAACGGACATTTTTATCGATCGATAGTTGGTAAAAATTGGAATGACCGTTTCATGAAAATGCCTTGAATAACAAAATGTGGCACACCAATTCTATTTGACCGTTTGAGGCTGAGAGCAGCCGGTCTTTTTATGAAAGTTTCGGTCAAGTCTGGAATATATGACCGTTTTGGAAGCCCTGGTGGTTGCATTTTCCTTATAATTTAGTAAGAACTACATGTGTATAAGTAAAATTAATATCTTTATTTTATGGGTGGTCCAGGTCTTAAAATTTTTTTTAAATGCCTTCCATCCCCCATATGTTTAATTTTGGAACAGTCCTTAATGAATGTTAGAGACAATCAAAGATAGTTTATTTGATTGCCGCTTGTTATTTTACAGTTTCCAGAGGACAGCGAAAAGATGACCACATCATTATAGGGACACCTGGCACAGTGTGTGATTGGGCAATAAAACACAAATGTTTTGACCCTAAATTATTAACTGTATTTGTATTGGATGAAGCAGACGTCATGATAGCAACACAAGGTCATCAAGATCAGTCCATTAGGTTACAGAGGTAAGTAGGGTAGATCAGTCAAGAACAGTTCATTACACCACAGAAGTAAAATTATTTCTGTGTACAAATTTCTCTTTGACAATTGCAACAAACAGGACTAAAAATTGCTCATAATTTTTTCATTAAGTCCTAAATAGGTCTCTGGTGGAGAGTTGTCTCATTGGCAATCATTCCTCATCTTCTTATTTCTATAGTACAAATTTATAATGAAATATCAAATGATTTATTTTTCAGAATGTTAAACAAACAGTCTTGTCAGATGTTGTTATTCTCTGCTACATATGATGATCAAGTGATGGACTTTGCTCAGGCTGTGATACCCAGGAGTCCAATTGTTATAAAATTACGACGAGAAGAAGAAAGCTTAGACAATATTAAACAATTTTATATAGAATGCACCGATGTTGAAGCTAAATTCCAAGCACTCAGTAATATATATGGAACAATATCAATTGGACAGTCTATGATATTTTGTGCTGTAAGTACTATACTTCAGCTCACAAGGATTTTATTATTTCCACTGGACAATGTTTGGATTGGGCAAAACTTCTAGATGACCTCCTTTGTCCACTCTTTGTAGTGAGCATGTTATTTTTTTTTCTTTCATTGAGCCTAGGAGGCCGAATGGTCTAAATAGGTCATCTACAGTATCAATATATATATAGCTTGTCAACACTGAGGTTGTGAGTTCAAACCCGACACGTGGCAGGTGCCTTCGACTCAAATCTGACTTGAATTCCACCAATCAAATACTCCAGCAAAATGAGTTATGATGACACAAGGAAATCACTTGGGCCATCAATTAATTAGATTTTCTGTCCATTCAAGTTATTAGCACATCTCCGAAATCATCTGATGAATGTTCAGGAACATCATACAAAGAAAGTATACTGAGTGACGATTAACACAAAGAAAAATAATTTTATAACTTTAAGGGGAGATAATTAAGTCTCCCAAACGAAGTTTGGGAAGACTTATTGTTTTTGCTCAGTTCTTATTATTATTATTATTCTTCTTCCTCTTCCTCTTCCTCTTCCGCCACATTTAAATTTGAACTTGTCCACACCCGTTCTCCGAAACCGCTTGTCAGATTAACTTAGGGTTTCACAATATGTTAGACTAACATGTCTAGTGGTGCAATCAGGGTTTTGTTTGTGCAATAGGTTTTATAAAGGGGTACTTTGAGGGGCGAAATGAAAGGAGGGTTTTACTATAGAACCCTATGGGATTTTATTTTTTTAAATTTTCAAATGATTATAAATTGAAAACCGTTTGTGATAGACACAATCTATTTAATTGAAAATGTTCTAAATGATAAAGCACATTAAAAGTAATACAGGGTTAGTCCCCAGGGGTCACCCCCACCCCCTGCCATTTAAGAAAGTTCTAATACCTTGTAAGTGGTCAAGATCCCCACCCCTAAACCATATATATTCTGGTTTGTCATGCTAAGATGGTTTGAATGATATACAGGGTTAGTCCCCAGGGGTCATCCCGACCCCCTGCCATTTGAGAAAGTTCTAATATCTTGTAAATGGTCGAGATCCCCACCCCTAAACCATATATATTCCTGTTTGTCATGTCTTGAACATTTGAATGACGTATATGGTCAGTCCCCAGGGGTTCCCCCCACCCCCAATGTTCTAATATCTTGTAAATGGTCGAGATCCCCACCCCTAAACCATATATATTCCTGTCCGTCATGTCTCGAACATTTGAAAGAAGTATAGGGTTAGGCCCCAGGGGTTCCCCCCACCCCCAATGTTCTAGTAACTTGTAAATGGTCAAGATCCCCACCCTTATTCCATATATATTCTGGTTTGTCATGCCAAGATGATTTGAATGATATACAGGGTTAGTCCCTAGGCATCACTAATGCATATAACTTTACTGGACCAAACCAATTTTCACTGGACTTTGCCCAATGTCAGGCGACCCTGGGAATTACGAATTATGGGAGCTTCGTTTGGGAGACTTCGTAACAGCATCCTGTTACAATCATTTCTTGTTAAACATGCATTTTGAAAACAAATATAATTTTGTGAGTATGCTCGTTGTAACTTTAGAATAATTTTTTGTAAGGAAAGGTAAATTATACTCAGAAATACAGCCCTTGCTGTATGTCCAATGCAAGTTGTCTTATTGTATGACTTCTAGTGTGCTCTTGAATCTGCAACCTGTGTTCGTATTTTCTAAATATTAACATACGTTTCATCATCATAAAGATAAGATGTGGTATGATTGACAATAAGATAACCATCCACCAGACTTAGAGACCATTGAATAAGAATGTAAGCAACTTTAGGGCACTGTATGGCTTACAACAATTAGCAAAACCCATACAGTATAGTAAATTATAATAATGCTCAAACATGACAAAATGAGAAAACCAACTTCTTTGCTATTTTTAGACAAGAAAAACAGCTGCCTGGTTAGCAGAAATGATGACAAAAGATGGCCATGTTGTAGGTTTACTGACAGGAGAGTTGACAATAGAACAAAGAGCAGCCATTATTAACAGATTTAAAGAAGGCAAAGAAAAAGTCCTGATAACAACTAATGTGACAGCAAGAGGTGGGTGTTAGTAATAATTAAAGGGATTATTTTTATGCATACATTACTGTTAATTCAGAAAAATTTTGCATGCTTTTTATACGACCGCAAAAATTAAAAAAATTTTGGTCGTATATTGGTATGACGTCGGCGTCGTCCGGCGTCGTCCGAAGACACATTGGTTTTGGCACTCTAACTTTAGTTTAAGTGAATGGATCTCCATGAAATTTTACCATAAGGTTCGATACCACGAAAGGAAGGTTGGGATTGATTTTGGGGGTTATGGTACCAACAGTTAAGGAATTAGGGGCCGAAAAGGGGCCAAAAATAAGCATTTTTGTAACTTCCAGACAATAACTTGTGTGTTAGTGTATGGATCTCTCTGACATTGTACCACAAGGTTCCATATCACAAAGGGAAGGCTGTAATTGATTTTGGGGGTAATTGCCTCAAAATTTTAGGAATTAGGGGCCAAAAAAGGGGCAAAAAACAAGCATTTTTCTAGTTTCATGACAATAACTTGTGTGTTAGTGTTTGGATATTTCTGAAATTGTACTACAAGGTTCCATATCACTAAGGGAAAGCTGGAATTGAGTTTGGGGGTAATTGCCCTAAACGTTTAGGAATTGGGGGCCAAAAAGGGGCCAAAAATAAGCATTTTTCTAGTTTCCAGACAATAACTTGTGTTCAAGTGTATGGATCTCTCTGAAATTGTACTTCAAGGTACCATACCACAAAGGGAAGGCTGGGATTGAGTTTGGGGGTGATGAATCATAAGGGGGTTCAAAAAATTGGGGGGGGGGGGGGGGTTTCTTTTTTTTTTCTTTTAAAATTTTCCATTTTAAGTTGGTTATTTCTGATTTATATTTAAAAGCAAATAATAATGATATGGTAGGAGATACACACCAAACAGGATGTGTAAATTATTATATAATAAGTATTGTGCAATAGCAAGAAATTTTCAATTGTACAGTATTGCACAATAGCAGGAAATCTTCAATTGCACAGTATTGCGCAATAGCAAGAAATCTTCAATTGCACAGTATTGCGCAATAGCAAGAAATATCCAATAGCACAATATTGCGCAATAGCAAGAAATTGTCAATTGTACAGTATTGCGCAATAGCAAGAAATATTCAATTGCACAGTATTGTGCAAAAGAAGATACTTCGTATAAATTGCTTATTTCTTGATCAATTTCAATGGGGTTTTATTCTTGAAATCTTGGGGTTCTTTAATATTCTGAATCTAACCGTGTATTAAGTTTTTGGATTTTGGGCCCCGTTTTTAAATTGGTCCACATTGAGGTCCAAAGGGTCCAAAATTTAACTTTGTTTGATTTCATCAAAAATTGAATTATTGGGGTTCTTTGATATGCCGAATCTAACCGTGTATTTAGATTCTTAATTTTTGGTTCCGTTTTCAAATTGGTCTACATTAAGGTCCAAAGGGTCCAAAATTAAACTTAGTTTGATTTTAACAAAAATTGATTTTTTAGGGTTCTTTGATATGCTGAATCTAAACATGTATTTAGATTTTTGATTATGGGCCCAGTTTTCAAGTTGGTCCAAATCGGGGTCCAAAATTAAACTTTGTTTGATTTCAACAAAAATTGAATACATGGGGTTCTTTGATATGCTGAATCTAACCATGTATTTAGATTTTTGATTTTTGGGCCCCGTTATCAACTTTGTCCACATTGAGGTCAAAAGGGTCTAAAATAAAACTTTGTTTGATTTCATCAAAAATTGAATTCTTGGGGTTCTTTGATATGCTGAATCTAACCATGTATTTAGATTTTGGATATTGGACCATAATAGGTGAATGTCCAATTTAAAATTTTTAAGTTCTTAGACCACATTCATTCTGTGTCAGAAACCTATGCTGTGTCAAATATTTAATCACAATCCAAATTCAGAGCTGTATCAAGCTTGAATGTTGTGTCCATACTTGCCCCAACTGTTCAGGGTTCGACCTCTGCGGTCGTATCAAGCTGCGCCCTGCGGAGCATTTTATTTTGAATTATCATTCATTAATCGGCTTTACAACAGCTAGTGTTTTAATTCAGCTCAATGATGAGTACACAGCAATTTTACTGAACATTATGTTTTTCTATAATCAGTATTTTTTTTTTTATATTTTTAACATTTATCTTGATATGTAAAAATGAGAGTACCCTTGGTGTTTTTATGCCCCTGCCGTAGTGGAGGGGGCATTAAGTTTTGCCCTTGTCGGTCTGTATGTCCGTACATCCCGAAATTGGTATCCGTTCTCTAACCTTAGTTTGCCTCAACCAAATGTTATGAAACTTATACACAATGCTTATTACCACAAAACACAGTTTAAGTTTTAATTTGGATGGTGTCACTTTTACTTTTCAAGAGTTATGCCCCTTTACAAATGGAAAAATTACCGATTTTTTCGTTTCCATTTTCTCTAACTTAAGTTTGCCTCAACCAAATGTTATGAAACTTATACACAATGCTTATTACCACAATACACAGACCAAGTTTGAATTTTGGTGGCGTCACTTTAACCTTTCTAGAGTTATGCCCCTTTAAAAATAGAGAAAATGCTGAATTTTTCGTTTCCGTTCTCTTAAGTTTGCCTCCACCAAATGTTATGACTCTTGTACACAATGCTTATTACCAAAAAACACAGATCAATTTTGAATTTTGGTGGCATCGCTTTTACCGTTCTAGAGTTATACCCCTTTACAAATGGAAAAATTACTGAATATTTTCGTTTCCGTTCTCTGACTTAAGTTTGCCTCAACCAAATGTTATGAAACTTATACACAAAGCTTATTACCACAAAACTCAGATCAAGTATGAATTTGGGTAGCGTCATTTTTAGCTCACATGGCCCAAAGGGCCAAGTGAGCTTTTCTCATCGCTTGGCGTCCGTTGTCCGTAAACTTTTACAAAAGTCTTCTCCTCTGAAACTACCGTAGAAACTCGCCTAATAGTCGATCCTACTATAAGTCGGGGGCCCTTTTCAGCTCCAAATTCTAAGGATTTAGTCTTGACCCTCGTATAAGTCGGACAAAATTTGGGCATTTTTTTTTCAGCTGACAGTAACTGAACGTCGGTAAAACCAATGCAAATCCAGGAATAATATTCATTTCTGCATTAATGTTTGTTTGGTTTGAATTTAGTTGATGCTCATCATGATAATTTATATTGCTGTTAATAATAAAGATGTATTCATTTCTCTTGTTTTGTTCACTGTTCAAATGTTAGATTAGCCATGTGTTGTTTACATAATGCATCAATGATTTTGTAGGGTATGAATAATAACCTATTGTTTGAGAAAAGTGAATATAAACCAATATGAACCTGAAAAATTTAAAGTCAATCAACACTTGATGAAAATATTTTTCACAGCATACATAACTTGGTGTTAAATGAGCATGTACACTTCATAATTCTTATTATATTGTGATGATTAAAGGATTAAAAAAATTAAGTGAAGCTAATCAATACATTAAAATAACTCCAACTCATTAGTGTCATCTGTTTACCTATCACTGATAGTTTTCACACCTTTAGTGAATACAACTCTTTGTCTCTTAATTGGGGTTATCAATGGATTATATTGGCTTGTCAAACAATTTTGTAATTTTTGTTTACCTGAGACACTTTAATGAATAATATTTTGATTTTGGGAATGAATCTTAAAATTATTTTTTTAATATTATATGATTTATAAGCATTGAATTGATATCATGATATCACAATAATGACACAATAACTCCGCTGAAAACATCCTTTCACATATTTGGTACATTGTTATCTCCTTTTCATTTTTGGTTCTTGGCTCTTCTTTTGGGTTTATAGGAAAACCATGTGACCATGAAAATCAATACACAAACCGGAAACAGTAGAATTTCAACACGAATTTGCAGAAAATGTTTACCAAAGAACAAATAAAACACAAAGACAGTATTGTAGTCATTTATTTTCAACAAAAACTTTTTATTTATTGATTTATGTAGGTTTGGCAATCAAAAACGTAGTTTTGACCAGGAAATTCACTCTTGACCACTTTTCTCAAGCTTGGATTTTTCCTCTGGTCGCTAGATCTCGTCTATTAGTCGGTCCCCCTCTCTGGATTATAAATTTTACTCCCAATTTTCCGACTAATAAGCGAGTAGGAACGGTACTGGGCCAAATTTGACCAAACTTGGCCACAATCATCATTTGGGTATCTAGTTTAAAAAATGTGTCCGGTGACCCGGCCAACCAACCAAGATGGCCGCCATAGCTAAAAATAGAACATAGGGGTAAAATGTAGATTTTGGCTTATATCTCTGAAACCAAAGCTTTTAGAGCAAATCTGACATGGGGGTAAAATTGTTTATCAGGTCAAGATCTATCTGCCCTGAAATTTTCAGATGAATCTGACAACCCATTGATGGGTTGCTGCCCCTGAATTGGTAATTTTAAGGAAATTTTGCCGTTTTTATATGACCGCAAAAAAATTTTTGGTATATTGGTATGACGTTGGCGTCGTCGTCGAAGTTGTTCGAAGACACATTAGTTTTCGCACTCTTACTTTAGTTTCAGTGAATGGATCTCTATGAAATTTTACCATAAGGTTCAATAACACAAAAGGAAGGTGGGGATTGATTTTGGGGGTTATGGTACCAACAGTTAAGGAATAAGGGCCAAAAAGGGGCCAAAAATAAGCATTTTTGTAACTTCCAGACAAAACTTGTGTGTAAGTGTATGGATCTCTCTGACATTGTACCACAAGGTTCCATATCACAAAGGAAATGCTGGGATTGATTTTGGGGGTAATTGCCTCCAAATTTGAGGAATAAGGGCCAAAAAGGGGCAAAAAACAAGCATTTTTCTAGTTTCAGGACAATAACTTGTGTGTAAGTGTATGGATCTCTCTGACATTGTATCACAAGGTTCCATATCACAAAGGAAATGCTGGGATTGATTTTGGGGGTAATTGCCTCCAAATTTTAGGAATTAGTGGCCAAAAAGGGCAAAAAACAAGCATTTTTCTAGTTTCATGACAATAACTTGTGTGTAAGTGTATGGATCTCTCTGACATTGTATCACAAGGTTCCATATCACAAAAGGAATGCTGGGATTGATTTTGGGGGTAATTGCCTCCAAATTTTAGGAATTAGGGGCCAAAAAGGGGCAAAAAACAAGCATTTTTCTAGTTTCATGACAATAACTTGTATGTAAGTGTAAAGATCTTTATGAAATTGTACTACAAGGTTCCATATCACAAAGGAAAAGCTGGAATTGAGTTTTGGGGTAATTGCCCAAAAAGTTTAGGAATAAGGGTCCAAAAAGGGGCCAAAAATAAGCATTTTTCTAGTTTCCAGACAATAACTTGTGTTCAGGTGTATGGATCTCTCTGAAATTGTACTGCAAAGTACCATACCACAAAGGGAAGGCTGGGATTGATTTTGGGGGTAATTCCCTAAAAATTTTAGGAATTAGGGGCCATAAAAGGGCAAAAAAACAAGCATTTTTCTAGTTTCAGGACAATAACTTGTGTGTAAGTGTATAGATCTTTAAGAAATTGTACTGCAAGGTTCCATATCACAAAGGGAAAGCTGGGTTTGAGTTTGGGGGTAATTGCCCTAAACGTTTAGGAATTTGGGGCCAAAAAGGGGCCAAAAAACAAGCATTTTTCTAGTTTCCAGACAATAACTTATGTTCAAGTGTATGGATCTCTCTGAAATTGTACTGCAAAGTACCATACCACAAAGGGAAGGCTGGGATTGAGTTTGGGGGTGATGAATCATAAGGGGGTTCAAAAAATTTGGGGGGGATTTTTTTTTCTTTTTTTTTTTCTTTAAAATTTTCCATTTTAAATTTGTTATTTCTGATTTATATATAAAGGCAAATAATAATGATATGGTTTGAATAGGTAAATTAAAAATTTTTAAGTTCTTAGACCACTTTCATTCTGTGTCAGAAACCTATGCTGTGTCAAATATTTAATTACAATCCAAATTCAGTGCTGTATCAAGCTTGAATGTTGTGTCCATACTTGGCTCAACTGTTCAGGGTTCGACCTCTGCGGTCGTATCAAGCTGCGCCCCAGCGGAGCATTTTATTGGTTATTATCTTGAATATTATTATAGATAGAGATAAACTGTAAACAGCAATAATGTTCAGCAAAGTAAGATCTACAAATAAGTCAACTTGACCAAAATGGTCAGATGACCCCTTAAAGAGTTATTGCCCTTTATAGTCAATTTTTAACCATTTCTCGTAAATTTTTGTAATCTTTTACAAAAATCTTTTCCTCTGAAACTACTGAGACAAATTTAATCAAACTTGTCCACAATCATCATTAGGGTATCTAGTTTAAAAAAAGTGTCTGATGACCCCGCCCGCGAACCAAGATGGCCGACATGGCTAAAAAAAAATGGCCCTGAAATTTTCAGACCAATCAGGCAACACATTGTTGGGTTGCTGCCCCTGAATTGGTAATTTTAAGAAAATTTTGCAGCTTTTTGTTATTATCTTGAATATTATTATAGATAGAGATAAACTGTAAACAGCAATAATGTACAGCAAAGTAAGATCTACAAATAAGTCAACATGACCAAAATTGTCAATTGACCCCTGAAGGAGTTATTGCCCTTTATAGTCAATTTTTTTACAATTTTCATAAATTTTGTAAATTTTTGTAAATTTAAAAAAATATTTTCCACTGTAACTACTTGGCCAAGTTCATTATAGATAGAGATAATTGTAAGCAGCAAGAATGTTCAGTAAAGTAAGATCTACAAACACATCACCATCACCAAAACACAATTTTGTCATGAATCCATCTGTGTCCTTTGTCCTTTGTTTAATATGCACATAGACCAAGGTGAGCGACAGGTTCTTTAGAGCCTCTAGTTATCATTTCTTGAGTTATGTCCCTTTATGTTATATGCAAGAGGGGGCATCATCTGTGTCCCATGGACACATTCCCCATTTATTTGAAGGTAGTAAATAAGCTGAACATTACATGTATATTCTAATGCTAAGATTTGGTTCCATTAAAGAAAATAAAACTTTTTAAAAACTATTGTTTTGTGGGTGACAATACTGAAAACCAACTTATTTTAGTGACTTTCGAAAGTAGAAAATAAATCCTTGTGAATACTTAAAACTTTGATCTATCCTTATTTGAATACATAATGAAAAAACAAGAAAATGGTGAAAATAAATAGCTACAAAGCCCACTAGAAAGGCCTTAACTTGAAATAAAATATCCGCTAAAAATATGTTTGTTTACAGTAAATATAAGTTTAAGCCACAACTAAGACTGACCCATCTAGAAATAGTTATTTTGACCAGTTAATCCAAAAGATATTTTGAATGCATCGACTAAGATTGATTATTATTTTTCAGGAATTGATGTAGAACAGGTTACAGTAGTAGTGAACTTTGACCCTCCTCTGACACAAGATTTCCAGCCTGATTACGAGACATATCTTCACAGAATTGGTCGAACAGGGCGATTTGGTAAAAGTGGACTGGCTATAAATATGGTGGATGGACGTCGTTCTCTGAGTACCCTCAAATCAATAGAAAAACATTTTGGTACGTAAATAGACAATTTTCCTAACTTTCAAACAGAAATTAGACCCCAAAAAAAATGTGTTTGACAGTATTGTAATGTGATTTTTTTCAACAGAGCTTCAATATTGTGATTTCTAAGGCAAACCCAATTTACAAGTTTAGTCTTTATCTTCAGGGTTTTTTTCAGGGAGAGGGGTTTAATAGCATAATAGCTTGAATTTGGGAGCTCAGCTCAAGGTTCTGCTAGTTTTCATTGAAAAAATGAGTTTCACTGTTCAGCACAGTACAAGACTTCTATAGACTTGAATTCAGAATTTGTCAAAACCAAGATATCAAATTGCCAAGAAATTTGATTTTTCGTCAATCCATCAATATTGGTACCCAAGAATATAAATGAATCAATAAAATGTAGGTGCATTCTATAGAAAATAGTCATAATGTAATGTTTGTTTTTCAGGTCGTAAGATAACGAAATTGGATGCAGATGATATGGATGAAATAGAGAAAATTGCTGTGTGAGCAGACAATAGACATAATATGGACAATTTGTACTTGCATAACTGGACTGACCATTAACATACTATTGTAAACTATTGTTAAATTTTGAATTGCAAGGAAAGTGCTTGTCAGCTGCCATATTTTACATACCAAATGTACTACTACGTTAATATTCATTTCCAAAAATTCAAACTTCTCATTCCGCACAAATCTCATTAAACATGTATGCTTTTTTTTATGCAGAAAAGTATTTGTGATTTTAGTTTTCACTTGTTGCTATAAGGACAGTCAAGTATTGTATGAATATTTTTTTCAATGTTTTGAAATTTACCTTTTATCATTATTTTATTTCATCTTATCTTAACATAGCCTTTATCAGAAAAAATACATAAAATGAGTTAAAAAGAAAAGAGAATCAGTTTCACTGAAGTTATTTTCCCCCTTTTTTGTCTCATTTTGAAAGAAAAGAACCCCTTAAGCAAATGATGAAAACATAACGGACATCACGATTTCTTCTCCATGCATATTGCTGTACATATCAATCCCCCCTTGATTATCTCATAACTTAACGATAATTTATTTAGCGTATCGTTACACCTATAATTCTAAGTAGTTTGGTTAAGTATATTGATTTGTTTCTTGGCGGATAAAATTTTATTTTATGGAAAAATCATAGATTTCAATGATAAAAGGAAACAATGTGTTTGTATGTTCTACATGAAATACATATTTTTGTTTATATTTGTAAGAAAATATATGAAAATCTACAAATTGAGGATCCATGCCATGGTACAACAATCTTTTGAAAACTTAGAAAATTTGAAGCTATGAAACTATTATGAAAAGAAAATTTTATCTGTTCTTTAAAATTATCTGCAATATGAAAAATAAAACAAATTTAGGTAAATAAGTTAACAATTAAATCCTGCTGAAATAAAATTGTCTATCAAAAAAAACATTATCATCATGATCACATTACAATGTTTTGATATTGAAATTGAAAATTATAAATGTTGGATGCAGCTGTAGTTCTTTTCAAAAACATTTTATGACTTAAATAAACCATGAGTAATACTGAAATTTGTATTACTCTTGCAATATTTTTCTAATAAGATTTCTGTGAAAGGGATTGCTGTCCTTATTTTAGTCTTACCTGGCTCTATCATCCAGAAAAAAGAAAATAGAACTTTTTGATTTCTTGATTGTTTCACAATTCCACTTTGTATTCTTGTAAATAAGTATTATCATATTTTTCAAATATTACTTTCATTATGTAGATAATTTTAATAAGGAGATTCCTTATACACAACACATTCATATATAAATAATAATTTCCTTATGTTTTAATTCTTTGATAAATATTTGTTAAATTTGACACTAGACTTTAAATTTGAATCTCTTTTCCTTAATGAATTATAAACCACGTTCTTTGTTAATCACTAGTTCAAATGAAAATGATTTGCATTGTTTGTCCCCCCTTTTTTGGTACGATTATTTCTACTGTGGTGAAGTGATATGTAGCAAGAGGCAAAGCTTTGTCACTATCAGCTGTTTTATACTGAATTTATTTGTTCTAAATGAATTAAGATTAAAATATTTTTTAGTCGTTCTCTTGATTCTTGGAAATTTAGCAAATTCAGATGTTCTATACATATATGTTAACGAAATAATAAATTTTTTGACTGAATAAAAAAAAGAACAGTGTTCAAATTATTAACTCAAATTTAATTATTAATGTATATACTGTTGATATACTTACAATTGTCTATAGGTGTATAACCACTAATTAAGGCTCGGTCAGAAAGAACATACAAGAAATAAGTACATATTTTAAACAAAATAGTTCTTACCCTAAGCTGTAACTTTGTCAATAAGTAAAACATTTGGGTATCAAATGAAAGCTTAAGGACTTTGGATCACTACAGAACTCATGTTGAAAGTTTCTTTTGAATAATAAAAAAAATATATGAAAGTGAAATGGCATATAGTACCTGTTTTTGTACTATCAAACTTCTTGGGACAAGTACACTCTAATATGCAATATAAGGTTTGTTGAATTTTTTAGCACAAGTCAGGAAAAGGTATAGTTTTGACATGAAATGGCTGTCACTTCATTTGAACTTATGTCAAAATAGCTATGAATGCTTGATATTGCATAATTTGACAAAGAAAGCAATGTGGCAATGAATTAATGGTTTTCTTCCATAAAACTGCAACTAGGTTACGCATCATTTACATCTGGACTTTAATTCTGTCTAATGATACTTATATAGTTAACAATACACCACATTGACATACAAAATTTGCTTTACTTTGTGGTATGCTTTATTTTCTGATTTTACCAATGCAAAAAGTATGATAATGCCAATTTATATACACTTTGGATTCATTTAAACGTGAGAAACAAATATTTGATGTCAAAGAAAGGGGGAAAACCACAAGTTTGGATACTCATCAAAATACAATTTTTAAGTTTTATAATTTAATGAGAGCAAATAAAGTAATTTTTTGAGGCCCTTTATAGCTTGCTGTTCGGTGTGAGCCAATGCTATGTGTTGAAGGATGTACCTTGACCTATAATGGTTTACTTTTATAAATTGTAACTTGGATGGAGAGTTGTCTCATTGGCACTCATACCACATCTTCTTATATCTATATAATCCACAGTATATGGCTATTGTAAATGGTCAACACATAGAGAAAAGAAGGATTGTTAAAAAATAGGATTCTGAAGTTACTGTAGATTCATTACATTTTTGTGGATTGAGGAAATATTGTGGGTTTTTTTTTGTGGATATTTGATTTTTAGGTTTACCGAAGTCTGTAAATAAATTTGTACTTTGTTGAACATTTATATTCATTGTTAAGCTATCCCCACGAATAATAATGAATCTACAGTACAAGGAATTCTGAAGCTTATTTTGTATTTATAACTAACACTACTGTAGTACATTTTGCAAGTACTTGTACATTTACTATCTTGTCGATATGGTGTTGACAATATCTTATTGTTGTTCAAATTGTATTTTAAAACATATTTTACATTGTAGATTATCTCCCATTCTTGTAAAATTTATGTTATAATGTGAAGATATTGATGATTTAGAGAAATGAATCACTTTTATAAATTTATGTTCTTACCATTTTATGACCTTTATTTCAGTTGTTAAAAAAACTGACTTGCCCTTGTGAATCTCAATGATCTATAGAAATATTGTTAAATCCCCCCATCTAAGAGTTGGTGCTTTTATTGCATGTCTGTCCATTCATCTGTCAACAAATATTTTTGTGATATTTTTCTCAGGTACTCCTGAACAATATGACTTTATATTTTGTCAGCAGCTTAACAGTGATGACTTGTTATGTGTGAACACATTTTTGATCTGTAAGACACCTTCTTTCTGTTTGCCAATACTTTGTATTTTTTAATATGTAAAATGAACAGTTAATATATGTTCAAACATTTCACCAGTACTGCTGATCAGAATGACTTCATGTTTGGTCTCATCAGCTTGGAGGTGATGAGTTGTAATCAGTGAGTGCTTGACAAATCTGTACAGGGCATTCTTCCTGCTTTCCAATACTATCAATTACAATTGGGGGTAATCTTAGCAGGATAACAGATACTTGTTGGTAGCAAAACAATGTATGACACTTGGGAAGCAAGAAGACCATACTTTTATTCAGGAACTCCTTGGAACATTCCCCGTCTTTATTTGGGTTTGTGTTGTTCAATCTAAAGTTTTCTGAGTAATGGCCATGTGAGGTTTCGTCCATACTTCGCAACTGTCGTCCCTTAATAAATGCCATGTATTGGCTTTCTAGCTACATTTGATTTTTTTCACTGTTGGTTTGAGAACCATTGAACAGAATAAAACCAAACTTGGCAGGGATGTTCCTTATTATAACTTTCCAAGTGATATTACTTTGGTACCAATTTGTCAACAAACAAGACTTCTTTTTTTCACTCAAAATAATAAAATTGAAGGCTCCTGAGTCGAGTTTGAAAATGAATTTGGGAATTTGAAAATTGAGGAATAAGAGACCTATTATTTATCAGTAACTATCACACAAATGACATACTGTGGATTCATTTATTTTCATGGATACAAATTTTTGTGGATTCAGGAAAACTTGCATTTTTGTGGATGTTTGATATAGTGGTTTTGCCAATGTCTGCATAAAAAGCCTTTAGAAAATTTGTAATTCATAGTACATTTAAATTAGCGGTTTACCTGTACCCAAAAATCCAACGAAAATTGGTATCCGACGAATAATAATGAATCCACAGTACTGTGGATTCATTATTATTCTTTGGATACCAATTTTCATAGGTATAGATGAACACTTTTAATGTTCAACGAATTACATATTCTAAAGGATTGTACGCAGACTTTGACAAAACCCCGAAATCCAGTATCCCAAAAAAATAGGTATCTGCAATACACGAAAATATTTGAATCCACAGCCTTCAGTTGCTTTACAATTGTTTCATTGGTGTTAAATGCACATTCAGCACACTTGGTTATATCATAGCAGTATTTTTGTCTCGCCTTGACAGAGTCAAAAAGCAAGACATAGGTATGCTGTTTACGGCGTAAGCAGTGGCGATGGCGGTGTCAACAATGTATTAGTTTGTGATAAGGTCTAGTTCATGGTGAACCACTAGTGGTAGGTCAATGCTATTTGGTATGCAGTTGTATTAGCATTGGCACATCTCATTACCAAGGAGATTTTTTGGCCCCGCCCCCTCAGTCAAGGTCTATTGACTTTGAAACTTTTCATAGTTTGCATGTATTAGTTTGTGATTAGGTCAATTTATGGGGAACCACTTGTGGTAGGCCAATGTTAATTGGTGTTCAGTTGTATAAGCATTAGCACATCTCATTTCCCTGGAGAATATTTGGCCCCACCCCCTCATTCACGGTCTATTTACTTTGAAACTTTTGCTTAGTTAACATGTATTAGTTTGTGATTAGATCAGTTTAAGGTGAACTGCTAATGTTAAGTCAATGATATTTGGTATGCAAATTTATTGGCATTTGCATGTATCGTTTCCATGGAGATTATATAGCCCCACCCCTGATCATGGTTCATTGGCTTTGAAACTTTTACATAGTTTACAAGTTAATGTTTGTGTTTAGGTTTGTTTAAAGGGAATGACTTATAATAAGTCAATGGTATTTGGTATGCAGTTGTATTAGCATTGGCACATCTCATTCCATGGAGGTTGTTTAGCCATGTACCTTCAGTCATGGTTCATCGACTTTGAATATTTGCATAACTTACATGTTAAAGTATTGCTATTTTAATTTCAACATTTGCATTATCAAAATTACAAAAAGGCGAGACATATCTCTGTGATAACAGTTTATTTATTGTTGGAGGAAGCTGGAGTACCAGGAGAAGATAAAGATACTTGACAGGAAAACTAGTTATCCCTATCAATTAAAAGCAAATCTAACACACCTTTACACCAGGAGCAGGGTTCAAACTCAGAACCTCAGAGTTGACCTGCTAGTCATCACTGTAGATTAAATACTTAAACCACTCAACCAAGGCCACTAAAGTTGCTTTACAAGCTGCAGCTCTTTGATTAGATTAAATTAATTATAATGATGTGTAATAAACATTTAATGGCACATATAACATGAATAAAAGGAGATGTGGGGCATACATCAATAGAACAGTAACCCAACAACAAAATTAACCAGAAACTATCAAAGGTCTGCCATCAACACTTAATTCCCTCAATAAGCATACTCTGGCTACTGGAAACAAATTTATATCGCAGATACTTATTTATTGTGCCGGAATTTCCTGTAAATCATTTACTTTGTTGTTTAATTCATTAATTCATATTGGAGAAGATCCTTGTTTAATAAATTTGTGGCTATCAATAATCACATTGTTTTTCTTCTGGCAAAAGTTGTCAATTTATTGGTCTTTTTCAAACTAGTCATCAGGCAGCTAAAAATAGAACTGATTTATCTTTTCTGTTTATTTAAAGCTTTGTGATCTATCAAAATTAACTAGTGAATCACTTCAATAACAAAAATATGGCACAACTAACAATCATTTTAGAAATAACCATTCAACTTTAAGGGGACTTAGTATTTTTTCTAAAATTAAACGACCGTTATCTAAATTTTCACATAACAATGGCAAATATTAAGCTTGAAGTTACTTATAAATTCAGTTTTTCTCTCTGTAGAAGCATCTTATGATGAGACAACATTTTTTTTACACTGCCACTTTTTGATGTACGATGTCAATCTTAAAAAAGAAATGGATTTTCTATAATTATAATTTTTTATATCAGTGAAAAAAAAAAAAAACGTCTGAAAACTTTTATTTTTAATGACTGTACATTTAACCTTTTGTGGGGTTGAAAATCTTACATGGTAAAATGTATTCTATCATCCTAAGAAGGTTAAATGGTTATTCCTTTAGATTGCTGTTAATTCTATCGAGTATCACATACCACATATACAAACAATTTGACCTTTGTGTATACACATATACAAACACTTTGACATTTGTATAATGAATAAAATGCTATAAATTTACAAATGGTAGTTATACACATAAATATGCAGTAACATACTATAAATGGGAGCTACTGTACACCAGTTTTCATAAAGAGAAGGGTAACTGGCTTCATGAATTTTTTTGGGTATGTATGGTAAAAATAAAAGAATGTGTCGGAGGACATGAATGCCCCCGCTCAAGCTTTGCAATTTTCCAAGTTAAAAGGAGGGCATAACTATACAACGATAAGTGACTCACAGCCCAAAATTTGAACTCTGTCTGCAAGACTTGGTTCTTAGCATTATGTATGAGTTTCATAGAATTTGGATGAGGCAAACTTAAGAGTGCAGAAACGAAAATGGAAGAAAGGAAGGACTGATTGACAGACAGATGGAAGGACAGTCAAGGGTAACACTTAATGCCTGGGAGCATAACAAATATCTGAAAACAATATATATTATTTTCAAAAAATCTGTAGCTGCTTTTTGGTTTAACATTAACCCAATTGCCTCTAATGATAGGGGTTTCTTACTAGGTAAGGTATTGCTATACTAAGCTCTCAAGTTAATGACAAATACTGATATATTAAGTCTGTTTTTGAAGTAAATTAACTCAAAATCTGGGATGAAAACTACAAATTTTGTCAAATCAAAGTTTTATTGTTCTACCAACTTTTGAAAAATCAAAAATATTTTCTATAGATGACTACTCTGACTTCTAGAAAACAAAATTTATTAGAGTACCAGCCTATTTGAGATTCAACAAAAGATCTATATAAAAAAAGATTAAGGGAATCGGATGATTTAAGCACTGAGACATTGTTTCAGCAAATAAAATTATGACAGAAATCACCAAATTCACTTTCTTAAATTGACGATTTGTCAACAAATCATTAAATCTGTTTAACTGGTATACAGTAGTTTTCCTTGAAAATTATCTAACAATGCACAAGTAAAAATGAATAATGGCAAAAAGAACCTTAAAAAAAATCATACAAAAGTAAATCGACAACAATATCACAGATAAACAAATATATCACATTTCATTGTATCAAATGACCATATAAAAATATATGATGACGGATGGCTGTTTAATGTATAAAAAATATACTGCCCACCATGAATAAGTATACAGTATGTTGACCACTAGATATCTTTTTTCTGATCTTGTTGTTTTGTATGGTTGCTCTCTCTCCCTTTGACCTCTATCCCACAACTCCTTTTAGCTGAAGGTCAGTAGCACACATAAAATATGTACTAAGTGTGCTGAAAGTGGTGTTAAAAACCAACAATCAATCAATCACAACTCCTTTAACCTAAATAAAAAAAATTCATGTTCATTAAAGTTTATTGAAAATGTTTTTATTTGTCTGTTAAAATAAATATATATTTGTCCTCAAAAGATTTTTTTTATGTAAATTTTGAGGAAATTTTACTTCTGTGACCAAAGATTTACTTTCAGTATTTGTTAAATCAAGACAAAATCTAGAATATGTTTCTTCTATATTACAAGCAATTACTTTAATATACAAGGGGCCTCAGTGGCCTAGTGGTCTAAGTAGTTCAACTACAGTATCACTAGCCAATCAACACTGAGGTTGTGAGTTTGAACCCTGCATGTGGCAGGTGCGTTTGATTTCGATTGTGGTTCTCTTCAAACACTTCAGCTTCCTGCACCAATAAAAATTTGTTTTAATTTATGTATGAATAAAAGTAGATGTGGGGTAAAGGTCAATTAGACAGCAACCCATGACCAAAAAAAAACCCCAAAAAAACATATAATAGTCAAGATATGGTCTTAAACAATAGACAGTTGTCTACAAAATTAAAATATGGCAAGCATTGAATCACCCGGAGTCCTAATTAAAAGACTTTTATGATGGGCTATTACATGAACGACACAGTAAAAACTGCAGGCTGTTAACAGACTAACTTGTTAAGGTAGTTTAGTCCAAGAGATTTTAAAAAAAATGTTTGACTCTTTTACACAGTTCATAAGCAATATGTACCAAAAAGTATTTGTCAATGTGTTAAATAAAACAAAATAAAATCAACAAAATTCTGAATTTTACAAGTAGTAAAAAAGTATAACAAAACCCTAACTCCAAGTTACATTCAAAAAGGGGAAGTCCATAAAAACTGAATATAATTTTTATTTCAAACTTCATATAAAAATTACCCAGAAAATATTTGCTTGTACATTTTAAAATACATATTAGCTGCATCAGATAGAAATAAACCTTATGCAAGTGCACGAATACATGTACATGTATAAGACTTTGATTGATTTTGGAACATTCGAATACAAAATAAAAGATGAATGTTGGACTGTTTTTGTAGCAATTTTCAAAAAGTTACAGACTTTCTGTAGATATTTTTTCAAGCAGAAATAAATTAACAGATGTATTGATATTCATTTGCATATGGTCGATTTCTATCCAACCCAGCTCATATGTAAATCTGCTACATTTTTACTATGAAACACAATATATTGTGTATAAATTTCGCCCCAAAAAAGAAAATATATATAAGGCTATGCATGATAAGTGTCAATGTCTATATGCTGTATCTTTGGTAATGCAGTTTATTATTGTCAAATGCAAAAAAAAAAGGAATAAAGGGTTTATTTAAAACAAAACATACTCTGTTGAAACTGAACAAGAGTAAACAAGCTGAAATGTTTGGCCTGCTTTATTGATCACGATTCAAATTTTTACTAAAGATATCACATAAACCTAACATGATCAATGATCCATGAAAATGAGGTAAATGTCTTATCAACTTTGACAGATGGACATGTATACCTTACAATCACCGTACAAAAATAGTTTACCTATTGCTTTTAGTATACCAGAAACGAAGTTAATCACAAAACTGAACATTTACCAATGAATCATGAAAGTTAAATAAATTTCTTTCATTCTTTGAGTACAGCATCTCTCTGGAAAACATCCTTGAAAGGATGATGTACTAATTTTCAAAAAACTCGAAAATAGTTTTAAAATCAAGTAAGGGTTCAATCAAAAAGCAACAAAACAGCTTTAAATATTTCAAATTTAAAGTTATCATCATAACAGATTATTTTCATTTTTAATATATAATTATCAGAGTGTTGTACTTCTAAAGAATAAAGGAGACTCCTCATTCATTAAAGTTTCTGCAGTGTATCAAAATTTATTGATAACTGAAGAATTCTTCCATAAATACAGAAATGTATTTTAGACAACATAGGCATAGTCTTTGTAGAACATGTTATTTAAAATTTTACACTTGTTCATGCTTATATAAATAGGGCAGAATAATTATCTAATGCCAATTTAATAGATGAATTGAAGATTTGATGAAACAAACACTTTTTGCAATTTACTGTCATCAAAATCAAAATATTCTGACAGGCAATAAATAAAGATATGAGATTCATAATCCTTATAAACAACTAAATTTTGACCCAAATACTATATATTTTGTTTTAAAAAGAACTTAAGTCTTATCTTTCTACTAATAAAAGCAAAGTCCTATCTTGCAACCCTGCTTCACCAATCAGCTGTGACAAGTCCGTAAAAACAGCTTTTGGTGCATTACAAGACAAAGTATACTGTGACAAATCAGAACATAGAACATTTTCAGCGTATTGTTTCACCGACTCTAACTTTTCAGCGATGCGGAAATGCCGCTGGACCCGTTTACCATCTGGAAGTTTGACAGCCAATAACAGTCTTTCTTCGTTATCTCCCGGTTCGTCGGACAATTTATGAGGTCTGAAATGTGAAAAACTATTTTCTTGATCTTTGTCTTCCTTAGCACCTGAATCATCATGATCTGACGAATGTTGCAGATTATTCGGACCACTGTTTAATATGTCTTTAGCTGATGAAAATGGCTGTTGAGTAAATGATCCAGAGCCTCTACTAGCAGCAGATCCTGATCTCTGCTGCTCGTGTAAATGCAACTGTTTTGTTTGTTCGGCAAGTTCATCAGCTCTTTCCTGATTGGACATTATTTCATTAGCTCCTATTGCAGGAAGTGGTTTGTAGCGTAAGAATGAAGAGTGAGGTCGTACCACTGTTGAGTCTAAAAGAGAAATGCATAAAAATTATGAAACTTTACTTTTGTAAATAGTAAGGCTAAAGAAAACTATCTAGAGGTATTGTGAGTAAGGTTCACAAAATGATACCCAGCCCCTTGCAAAGTATATAATTAGCTATGGGAAACCCCCAAAGATCATCAGAGAAAGAAATGAATTAGGAGGTGCAAAGGTACATCATTGTCTTCTGTAATTTTGTAACATTTCCATGGAGGACATGTTTAGTCAAAAAATTTAATCATATAATTGTATCCATGAAAACAAACTATAAATATAATTTTGTAAACAGATATCCCGTGCAATTTAATGATTTAAATTCAATTGATTTCCAAATGGTGGCTTCTTATTTATCTTACCAGTAGCCTGGCTGTAAGCATCGTCATTAACATATTGCTCTTCCTGCCGTTTTCTACCACTTTGTGGTCTCTTCCTTGCAGACTTTGGTCTAGAGGACCGTGGTCTAGAAGATGAGGGTCTAGGAGTTTGAGGCTCCTCATGAACAGGCATGACATCTGACTGGTATGTATCTGAATTATCCACATGCTGATAATGTCCATATTTGTATCTATTTTTACCACTTAAAATTGGGGCATACCCATCTGGTGGATTTTCTGAGGAAACCCCATAATCACCATATGATTGGCTGTCCTGAGGCTGAGTATCAGTGTACTGATATTGTTCATTTCCTGAATAAGACAAGGGAGTCTCGTATCTTTTGTCATATGAATTGCCGTCAAAGTCAAAAACTTGTTCCTCATTTGCATAATCAGGTTGTTGTTGTTGTTGTCTTCTAGCTGGTCGATGACTGTGGTACGGACTTCCTAGGGGACTTTTCTGAAGTCCAGTATCTCCATGATAAGGACTACTTAATGGACTCCTCTGATTTGTTTCTCTTTGGTATGGACTTCCAAGAGGACTTCTCTGTAAAAAATTTTTTTTTTATATCTTTCATCAAATTAAGTAAAAATTTTTCAATTATATTTATTTATCAATATCAAACAAACTGTTTAGATTTCAACAGACTGAAAACATAAAATTTATATATTAAGTTTGCTGATTTCAACAAACACATTTTTAAAGAAGACAATTTAGTAAGAAAAACAGAGAATTCTTGGAAAACCTTGCATTTTCAATTATATTTGAAATGTTCAAATTGATATGAAAATTCAACTACCAACCCTCATTTATTTACCCAGTAGTTTGTATCTAAGTACCAGAAAAATTTTTGACACAAATCATTTCACATTTTTGTAAAAAGTATTTTTTTGTGTTCTAACATCATTTTCTTGTCTAAAACATGTAATTTATGTTGTTAATATATGGTAATCCCTACCTACATGTACCTACCCAACCCTACAAGACATGATGTCACAAACACAAGATTTCAAAATGACTTACTGTAAAGGGCTATTTACACAAGTACAGTCAAACCTGTATAAAGGTCACCCTCAGGACCAAAAAATACGACCTTATAACAGAGGTCACCTTTTAAATTAAAGTTCAAAACTACAGCAGGCCAAGAAAATTGTGAACTGACAAGGCAGGTTTTTGTTTTAAAAAAAAGAGGTAACCTTTATCTAATAGGTTTGACTGTTGACTGTATACGATTGTTTATGTTAATACCTGATGAACAGTTTCTCGAGATAACAATCTAAATGCTGAGGGTGACTGAGCAGATAAATATTCTTCTACTGGAGATACAGACATTTGATGAGGTGACATCTTTTGTGATGGACTGTTTCCAATTGGAGAATTATTACCTCCCCCTGGTGAGGAATTTTCTGAATCACTACTATCAGAAACAACTCTTGGTTCTTGTCTTGAAAATTCATCATAGTCATGCCTATAAAAAAGTAGGAAATAAAATTATCATTGAGAACAGAACATTTCATTTTTCTATTCTGAAATTCTGAACACGACATGACGTTCTTTTGAACATGTTGAAAACTTCAATTAAAACCTTATCAATCATTATCCTGATGTAGTTTTAGCAAGTCTTATCTAATAGTATAAACAAATGTTTCAATTCACGTACATGTATATAAATAATAAAATTATTGGTCAATACTTGGACAATTTCTACGTTAGAATTTTAAGCAGCTTTATATACATATCTGTAACTACACTGAAGCTGTGTATTCTATTTCTGCAAAGTACATGTTAGAGGGGCCTGATGGGGGGGGTCTCATGATACTCTCATCACGATTCACGAGTTGATTTTTTTGTCAATCACGATTCACAGAAAATAAATTTCCATGATCACGGATCACGAAAATATAAAAAAAAAAAATCTGTAGAAAAACGGATCACGATAGCGAAAATGTGCCGATCACGAAGAAAGAAAATAACCCATCAGACACCCTCATGTTTAGATGTGAACAAATGTGACATGGAAACTCTTTTAAAAACTAAAACGTCTGTGAAATGATACATGTGATCAGCATATCATTTCAACTCATTAAAATTTATGCTAATGAATGACTAGCGAACTTTTATTTGCCATTTGCCTGTGGGCTTGTTACATTAATTTCATCCTTTATAATTCAGAAATTATTGCGATGTTTTTATTATTGCGAAAAATGCGACAGGGTTATAATCGCAATAATTCGAACACACATTTTGAAATTTTTTATATGAATTAAACAAGATTGTTTTTTAATATCGCAAAAATTAAAATCGCATTTTAGTCTAAAATGACAAAATCGCAATAATAAATGCACGCAATAATTTCTGAATTTACAGTAATAAAAAAACAAAATGAAGATGTTAAATTTGATGTATGCCTTTTTGTGCTTCTTCGTTACATTTGTTTGTTTTTACAGGGATTAAGATTATAACACAATGTTGACTGCTGTACCCCTATTTTTGACATTTTTACCTATTGTGTCTGTTTGTTTTGTTCACACATCGTTGTCAATATAATGGAATTTGATGCGACTGTCATACAAGTGAGAGGTTTAGCTAGCTATAAAACCAGGTTCAATCCACCATTTTCTAAATAAGAAAATGCTGGTACCAAGACAGGAATATGACAGTTGTTATCCATTTGTTTGATGTGTTTGAGCTTTTGATTTTGCCATTTGATTAGGGACTTTCCTTTTTGAATATTCCTCGGAGTTCAGTATTTTTGTGATTTTACTTTTTCAAGCACATGTTAGGGATAACACTGAAAGGAATAAAATGCTTCGCTGGGCGCAGCTTGATACGACCGCAGAGGTCGAACCCTGAACAGTTGGGGCAAGTATGGACACAACATTCAAGCTTGATACAGCTCTGAATTTGGATTGTGATTAAATATTTGACACAGCATAGGTTTCTGACACAGAAAGAATGTGGTCTAAGAACTTCAATTTTTTTAATTTACCTATTATGGTCCAATGTCCAAAATCAAAATACATGGTTAGATTCAGCATATCAAAGAACCCCATATATTCAATTTTTGTTGAAATCAAACAAAGTTTAATTTTGGACCCCAACTTGGACAAACTTGAAAACTGGTCCCATAATCAAAAATCTAAACACATGTTTAGATTCAGCATATCAAAGTACCCGAAGAATTCAATTTTTGTTAAAATCAAACTAAGTTTAATTTTGGACCCTTTGGACCTTAATGTAGACAAATTTAAAAAACGGGACCCTAAATTAAAAATCTACAAACACAGTTAGATTTGGCATATCAAAGAACCCCAATAATTCAATTTTTGATGAAATCAAACAAAGTTTAATTTTGGACCCTTTTGACCTCAATATGAACCAATTTGATAGTGGGCCCACAAATAAAAAATCTAAATACATGGTAAGATTCAGCATATCAAAGAACCCCATATATTCAATTTTTGTTGAAATCAAACAAAGTTTAATTTTGGACCCCAATTTGGACCATCTTGAAAACTGGGCCAAAAATCTAAAATCTAAATACATGTTTAGATTCAGCATATCAAAGAACCCCATATATTCAATTTTTGTTGAAATCAAACAAAGTTTAATTTTGGACCCCAACTTGGACCAACTTGAAAACTGGTCCCATAATCAAAAATCTAAACACATGTTTAGATTCAGCATATCAAAGAACCCCAAAAATTCAATTTTTGTTAAAATCAAACTAAGTTTAATTTTGGACCCTTTGGACCTTAATGTAGACCAATTTAAAAAACAGGACCCAAAATTAAAAATCTAAATACACGGTTAGATTTGGCATATCAAAGAACCCCAATAATTCAATTTTTGATGAAATCAAACAAAGTTTAATTTTGGACCCTTTTGACCTCAATATGAACCAATTTGATAGCGGGCCCACAAATAAAAAATCTAAATACATGGTAAGATTCAGCATATCAAAGAACCCCATATATTCAATTTTTGTTGAAATCAAACAAAGTTTAATTTTGGACCCCAATTTGGACCAACTTGAAAACTGGGCCAAAAATCTAAAATCTAAATACATGTTTAGATTCAGCATATCAAAGAACCCCATATATTCAATTTTTGTTGAAATCAAACAAAGTTTAATTTTGGACCCCAACTTGGACCAACTTGAAAACTGGGCCCATAATCAAAAATCTAAACACATGTTTAGATTCAGCATATCAAAGAACCCTAAGAATTCAATTTTTGTTAAAATCAAACTAAGTTTAATTTTGGACCCTTTGGACCTTAATGTAGACAAATTTAAAAAACGGGACCCAAAATTAAAAATCTAAATACACGGTTAGATTCGGCATATCAAAGAACCCCAATAATTCAATTTTTGATGAAATCAAACAAAGTTTAATTTTGGACCCTTTGGACCTCAATGTGGACCAATTTAAAAACGGGGCCCAAAATCCAAAAACTTAATACACAGTTAGATTCAGCATATTAAAGAACCCCAAGAATTCAAGAATAAAACCCCATTGAAATTGATCAAGAAATAAGCAATTTATACGAAGTATCTTCTTTTGCACAATACTGTGCAATTGAATATTTCTTGCTATTGCGCAATACTGTACAATTGACAATTTCTTGCTATTGCGCAATATTGTGCTATTGGATATTTCTTGCTATTGCTCAATACTGTTAAATTGAAGATTTCTTGCTATTGCGCAATACTGTGCAATTGAAGATTTCTTGCTATTGTGCAATACTGTGCAATTGAAAATTTCTTGCTATTGCACAATACTTATTATATAATAATTTACACATCCTGTTTGGTGTGTATCTCCTACCATATCATTATTATTTGCTTTTAAATATAAATCAGAAATAACCAACTTAAAATGGAAAATTTTAAAAGAAAAAAAAAAGGAAAAAAAAGAAAAAAAAAAAAAAAAAAAATCCCCCCCCCCAAATTTTTTGAACCCCCTTATGATTCATCCCCCCCAAACTCAATCCCAGCCTTCCCTTTGTGGTATGGTACCTTGCAGTACAATTTCAGAGAGATCCATACACTTGAACACAAGTTATTGTCTGGAAACTAGAAAAAAATGTGTTTTTTGGCCCCTTTTTGGCCCCAAATTCCTAAACGTTTAGGGCGATTACCCCCAAACTCAAACCCAGCTTTCCCTTTGTGATATGGAACCTTGTAGTACAATTTCAGAAATATCCAAACACTTACACACAAGTTATTGTCATGAAACTAGAAAAATGCTTGTTTTTTGCCCCTTTTTTGGCCCCTAATTCCTAAAATTTTGAGGCAATTACCCCCAAAATCAATTACAGCCTTCCCTTTGTGATATGGAACCTTGTGGTACAATGTCAGAGAGATCCATACACTTACACACAAGTTATTGTCTGAAAGTTACAAAAATGCTTATTTTTGGCCCCTAATTCCTTAACTGTTGGTACCATAACCCCCAAAATCAATCCCAACCTTCCTTTTGTGGTATTGAACCTTATGGTGAAATTTCATGGAGATCCATTCACTTAAACTAAAGTTAGAGTGCGAAAACCAATGTGTCTTCGGACGACGCCGGACGACGACGACGACGACAACGACGACGACGACGACGACGACGACGCCAACGTCATACCAATATACGACCAAAAAATTTTTAATTTTTGCGGTCGTATAATAAGCAGTGATTCAATGAAATGTTAGCATTCATATTTTTTGCTACTAATGTAATATTATGAGAATTTCAACTTAACAAATTTTGGGAGGGCTCCCTCAGGCAATTAGTCAGTCAGTATACTTTTTTCATTTCTTGCAGAGTTTTTGAAATCTGTTTTAGCCTGGTGGACATTAAGACCACTAAGATGGCAAATCTGGTGGTCCCAGTGAAAATTTTGTGGTCCTGTAAGTGCAGTAAAATTTTGGCTATCAATTACTACCAGGTTTAAATTAGATAATGCCAATTTGCACAATAATTATATGGTTGCATATCAAATATTGATAAACAATTTTATTTAGCCAGAAAGCAACAAAAAAAACAAGAATAAAACCACCACACTGCACTAAAAACTGATGAACCTACCTGATTTTCCGTGATCAAGACCAACACACCGGTTTTTGAGAACACTGTTCTTGGTCTCAAGTTATTATTGTTTAAATTTCAGAGGTTCTGAAGTTTTTTGGTCCCCAGTGGTCTTTTGGTCCAGTCAGTGTTTTAGCAGTCATTTACATTATGAGTATTACTGGACCAAACCATTTATTACTGGACATTGCCACATGTCTGAGGGACCTTGAGAATGACTATCATACCTATCATATGTATCAGGTCTAAATCCTACTCTTGAAGTAGGTCTTCCAGTTTTTGTTTCATCAAAAATTTCTTCTCTACCTCCACGAGATTGCGGTCGAATTCGTCTATAGCCTCGTCCAGTTTTTGGACGTTCAATTGTTCTTTCCATTAGGACAGGACTGTGCTTTTGTCGATACATTTCTGAAAATTGAAAATCTATATAAAAAAGAAAGCAAATCTTTTTTGGCTTGCTGTTGAGTGTTGTGGGTTACTTTTCCTAGTCTGACTTTAAACATCAAAATCATGCATGTACGGTTTGTAAAGAGTCTGTGTTAGTTAGAAATGTCATATTGTGATAACATTCAGCTACAATTTAAAGTGTTCAGACGATTTACTGGTCCGAAATAATTTGGGGAATCAATTAGGGCCCCTTTTCCAGAAATACTGATTAAAGAGTATTTTTTCTTGTTTTGGAATTTTAGTTTTATTTAAATGATTTAAGGACCGCAACTATTCCATCTCAAAGATCACAATTTAGCAATTTTGAGTTCTGTATTTAAGTATTTATACAGTTGTGTATTTAACATGTTTAAGTACATTTGTTCTTCATGTAAATTACAGGTAAACTTATGGGAGAAAAAACTTTTTTATGTTTTATTTTTGAGATTAATTGCTGTTTGGCTTCATTTTATAGATTGGTATTTAATTAGAATCAATTTTAATGATTGTTGATTGATATATATGTACGATGCCAATTTGGTATTATCATGTTATGTGTTTGATCTCCTTGAATCCCTGACAACTTAGCTCAATTGACAAATTCCCTCAGGCCTACTCGCCAAGACTTAAACCACCAATGAAAGAAGTTTAAACCTGCTGAAGAAAGACCCACTTGCTTGCCCAACTAATGAAAAGGAGTCTGATGCTGCTGAATAAAGACCTACCAACACGCCCCACTTATGAAAGGAGTGTAATGTTTCTGAATGAAGACCTACATTTGTACCAAATTGCCTAATGTTTTTCCATCATCATATAGCTTATATCACAAATTAAGTCATAATTCCCAAAATAATTAAGGACCACCAAATTTTAGGAAGGACTAGCAATAGTTTGGCTTGCATGTATGTCAGAAAAAAATATGAAGTTTCGCAAGTCTACTGTGTTTATATAAATACAACCAAAAGACAAAATTAAAAATGAGGGCAAACAGACCCAGAGACAATGTGAATATGGGCAAACAGTTATGTGGGTAATTGTGATTGTTGGCTAACTGACATCCATAAACTCCTCATGGCTGGAATCCGGGTCCGTTCGCGCCCATTCACGTTTACCCCCTTTCACTTTCGCACCCTACACATTCGCACCCAAAGTCCGTTCGCACCCTACACGTCGTACCCTTTTTATTGGTTTTGTGTTTAATAATTTTGTAATCGAGTTTTGGTAAGTGTATTGCTGTAAATATTTTTTTTTTCATTGTTTCAAAATAAAGTGAGATTCTGACAACATTTTTTTGTGTTGAATAAATCTTAATCATGTTTTGGTTAGTGTATTTCTATAAAAAAAAATCATTGTTTCTAAATAAAGTGAGATTCTGACAACGTTTGTTTTTTGTGTTGAATAAATCTTAATCATCTTTTGGTTAGTGTTGTGATATAATTTTGATTTTCATTGTTTCAAAATAAAGTGAGATCAAAGGGGCCAAGCTGTTAAAATCAATTATCTTTCATCATGTTCATGTTTTTCTTTTAAAATCTTCAATGTTTTACTCATACCAAGCTAAATACATGCAGTATTTACATCAAAGCAAGTTAAAACAACAATCATGATTTTAAAACACACAACAATAATACCAAATTTAGCTGTGTATAAATACCAATTAGCAGTAATCATACATTTGTACATAATTAACATTTAATAATTAATCATCAAATTGATGAAAAAAAACCAAAATAATAACATTCATATAATAATTTCCCAATTTTTATTCAGGAAAATATATTTTTTTTGGTATAAACATATAAAAAAGTATCTAATAATTCAAATTGAAATTGAATAAAAATTGGGTGCGAACGTGTAGGGTGCAAACGGACCTAGGGGGCGAACGTGTGGGGGGCGAACGTGTAGGGTGCGAAAGTTTATTGGGCGCGATTGGACCTGATACCTCATTGACTCATGGCTGTAATAAGTGGACAAAGTCCCCTATTACAGTAGAAAAATCAATAAAAAAAAAAAAAAAAAAAAAATTCCCCGAAATTTTCATTGTACTAATGAACTCAAAATCGTTAACTTTTTTTTTGTAACTTTTTTTAATTCACGAATTAGCGCAGAAATCTACTTCCTTCTTCCAGTCTCGTTTGTCATGAGACTTTGAGTGAAATATATATTTATCAGTCCAGTAAAATATAGGAAGGAACACAATAACAATTTCATTTCTAATTATTCTTTGATATGAAAAAACGTTACCTGATGATAGCGTTTCTTTGTTTACATTTAATGTGACGTCATAACTAAAATAAAGTCACAACTGAAATCCCTAACAACAGAACCAAAATCGGAAACGATACGGTAATTCCGTTTCTTTTTTAAACGATTAAGAACTTTAAAAAATATGTTTGAATTAAAAAAAATAATTTATATAGACTTCGTCCCATTTCACAGGTAATGCCTGCCTCATATTAAAAGATAATAAATAATCATGAATCCTGGATTCTGATTGCTGCCCTCTGGAACAGAACACAAATCTGAAGATTAAAAGAGGTTACATAAAGGTATTGAACGTATTTATTTTGAATCATTGCCAGTCCATATGGCATGTATGTTTTTTCTACAGCATATTGCCTTGAACTTGACGAAATAAGAAGGTCAGTGTATAAAAAAATGTAATTTAAAAGGGTGTGATAAGGGTCTAAGCACCGTCAACATTTCTGTATTCCACTGTAGAGTAAGAAGGAAGATTGTCAGAGTATTGAACGTCCGCACGGTCATGATTTGCGCTGTACCTCCCTCCATGACGACTAGCAGGACGACAAGAATCCGCCATGTTGTTTACATCATTCCCTAACAAATATTTTCGACTTCATTGGTCAAAAATAAAGATCATAGAAATATTAAATGATTTTATTACTATTGTTGCTATAAAGTCAAATTGAGATTTATAGTAAATTTATTTTGTAATAGGACATAAAAAAATAATCATATTTGCTGCGATTCTACAAGATGTCTGCGCCCATTGGAGTCATATTCCCAATTTTTAGTAACGACATACTTCATATTTTTGAAGATTACTATCTATAGATTAAGATTTTCTTACGACATGATTGGTGATTTGGCCAAGGGGCAAGAAAAATCTAACATTGTTCTAATAGAAGGTAAGTTTCAGAAAGAAACGATATTTTAATTAAGGTTCATTACAACCTTGTGTAAATTATACAGGTTGGGAACAACCCCCCAAATGAGGGATATCCCTTAAATGAGGGACTGTCCCTGAGACAAGGGGTCGTTTCACTGTTGTAAAAATGAAAAAAGCAAAACTTCGATTTTTTAACTTAAAAAGGGAAAAATTTATTATATTTGGAACAACTTTTCTAAAAGGGGGTCTCATTGGGGGGTTCTGATCCCGAATCCCCCTTAATGTTTTGTCAGATTCCTGTATCCCGCTTACACTAAGTATGTAAGCAATTCTCATTTTTTTGTAATTTCCTGTATCCCGCTAGACTTCATTTCTGTTTTCACGGCACAATAATTTGACTTTCACGTGTCACGCTTACAAAGAATCGGCATTCCCGCGTCACGCTTAGACCCCAATGAGACCCACCTAAAAGAGGGTTCCACTTATTTTTGATAATAAGGAAGATATAAGTCCAGGAATATTACAGAATTCTTGGACATGTTTTGGCCATATAATACCAGATAGAAATGTAGATGTATAGTTCTTTGGGAAAAGTTTCTTCAAATAATATAAATATTTGCTCATTTGCACTAAAAAGTGGTTTTTACAAAAAATGGAGGGGTTCCCAACCTGTTATATGGACGTATTTACACCACAAATTTTACTCTGAGTACAGAAAAATCTGTGCACCTGCAAAAGTTTTAAGGCATGGCAGGAACTAGATAATTAAATTTTAAATGCATTTTAGGTTTCAGAAAACAATATACACTTTTCTGGATTTTGCTATTCATTTTTTTTCGTTCCTGCAGAAGGTGTCAAAATAAACTTAGTTGGGAAAGAGGTTTGAGAAGCTCCCCTCATATAATAAATGTTGTGAGAAGTATTGATTTAAATGGACAATAGATGGACAATAGACATCTACAAACAATAGGTGATTTAAACTGTGTAACTGAGTGGACCGTTTCAAATGAAACTCATGTGTTTGTTTATTTTGCTATCTTCTGCAGACTGGAAAAAAAATGCACATCAAATACCAGGTCAGTTTTTAATTTTCTGAACCATAGACTTCATATAACTTTTATATATCTAGGTCCTGCCATGCCTTAAACCTTTTCGAGATGCATCAGTTTGTCTGTGCTCAGAGAAGATTTTGTGGTGTAAACACGGCCATATTTTTCAATTCCTTTTGATGAACCTTAATGACAACTTGATTATATGGGGGTAGCTAGGGCAGAGACATATATACATTTGTACATGTCTATGGCTAGGGTTTCTGAACTTAAAAGGTTATTCTTAAAATCAAAATCTTTTTACTCAGTATACATGATACATGGTATATACATGATATAAAAGAGTGCAGATAATCAAGTTTAATTATTTGTTAAACTATTTAGTATTTGTGTTTCAGATTCATCAGACTATCCTGGTAGAGGTGTATTGTGTTCATTTATAACTAGTCTTGCAGAGAGGTATTGTATCCAAATTTAATCATGAGCAATCAAACACACCTTAAAAAATTAATTGTTTCCCATTTTACCATGGGATAAAATATGGAAAATATTCTTGAGGCAAACGCAATGAATCGAACTTTATTGGCTGTGGTGAAATATAACTGAGGATGAACAAAATACATTTTTCTGGGAATGAAATTAATGATGAGGGCAAATTTTTATGAGTAGGTAGGTTATTGGGGAAACAAATCATACTGTATATACCAGAAGGTTTAATAGCAGAATTATGGTCTGGAATTATTTTTGGTCGAAGTGGACAGATTCTCCAAGAATATTAACTGAATTTTTACCAGACATTTTCTAGATCACTTGGAGCCTTTGAAATAAATCAATCATGAAACATGCCATAATTCATAAAAATTAAAAAATGCTTCACCATGGTAACAAATTCGGATATTGCAAGTCACAGACTTTTCAAACCAGTTCGCATTGGAAAAGATGAAAAAGAGAAAAGATCTTTTCTTAAACTTTCCTTTGCCAACAAAGGTCTCGATGGCGTCAACTTAGGCAATATCCTTCATCATAAATTAGTTCAGTCGAAATTACCACCTTATTTTAAAGATCAGTCTGTACCAATAATTTCTTATACCTATACCAAACCAATTGCAACTAAAATTTTCAATTACAAACACATTTTGCAGGATCTCAACATTGATGACTTCAAGTCTAAACCTCCTGATTGCACCTGTGCTAGTTCCCAATTCACATATAATCCGGCCGGCCACGTTATTACCGGAGACCTCAACATTGTCAATAACACTTCCCTGCGAAATTTGTTATCCAAAGGTCCGAAATATCGTGAGCCTAAATCCATCAATTGGAAATACAACTTCAAAATACTGATGGATTCAGTCGAGGATTATGCCAGGCAATGGGCTAAACGCGAGAAAGAAGACGTAGATACTCTTTCCGAATGGATTAAGGCTGTGAGGTCGTTGATACAAATCCGAATTAAGAAACTAAATGGGCATATCAATACCCACGCTACGTCAATTTTTAAAGACCCAAATGTTGCAAAACACTTGTCCTACCTCCATGACAAATATGTTGTTGTTCCTGCAGATAAAGCCCCAAACAACATCGTTTTTGTGTGTAAATATCATTATATAGACTTCTTGATAAATGAATTAGGTATTGACAATTCACTTGGAAACTCAACATATACCCTCACAACACTTACCAAAGAGGAAATCCTGGATAATCATAGGTCTGTTCTATGTTCCTTTGGAATTTCAACCAAAGATGAAGAACTGGATCTTCCATCACTGTACTGGATACCTAAACTACATATATAAGTGTCCTTACAAACAACAGTATATTGCTGGGTCTTCCAAGTACTCCACGAAACCTCTTTCTAAATTATTAACATCTATTTTATCAGCAATCAAATCCAGGCTCCAAAGTTATTGTGAAACTGCCTATTCTAGAGGTGGCGTGAATCAGATGTGGATACTAAAAAATTCCAAAGATCTTTTAGAGTACATACAATCTAAGACTCTCTCATCTTGCAATAGTCATGATAGTATTAAAACATTTGACTTTTCTACACTTTACACAAGTATTCCCTATTCAAAACTAAAAGACAAATTGAAAGAGTTGGTATTACTTTGTTTCATTAAAAAGAATGGCGAACGTAGATACAAGTATCTTGTCTTGGGGAGGGATAAATCCTACTTTGTAAAGAATCACTCTGATTCAAACAAAAAATTCTCTGAAACTGACATTATCAAGATGCTTGATTTCTTGATTGACAACATATTTGTTACGTTTGGAGGACGTGTTTTTCAACAGACTGTCAGAATTCCAATGGGAACCAATTGTGCCCCTCTTCTTGCCGACTTGTTTCTTTATTATTATGAGGCTGACTTCATACAGGAACTTCTTAGGAAGAAAGATAAGAAGTTAGCAATATCCTTTAACTCTACGTTCCGCTATATAGATGATGTTCTCTCACTAAATAATACAAAATTTGGTGACTATGTTGAACGAATCTATCCCATCGAACTAGAGATAAAGGATACTACAGATAATTAAGTCTGCCTCATATCGTGACTTACATCTAGAAATTGACAATGAGGGTCGGTTGATAACAAAACTTTACGACAAAAGAGATGATTTCAGCTTCCCAATTGTGAACTTTCCATTTTTATGTAGCAACATTCCAACAGCGCCTGCATACGGAGTATATATCTCCCAATTGATACAAAATTCCCTGGCTTGTGTTTCCTATCATGATTTCCTTGATAGAGGATTGCTGCTCACAAGGAAATTATTAAACCAAGAGTTCCAAATGGTGAAGTTGAAGTCATCCCTTCGTAAATTTTACAGATGCCATCATGAGTTGGTTGACCGTTATGGAATAACCGTTTCACAGATGATATCGGATATGTTCCTTATGTCGTAACTACAATACCCTCCCTTTTCACGAATGTGACTTACCGAATTAGACTATTTACCGGATTTGTAATAACATAAGCAAGATGATGGGTGCCACATGTGGGGCAGGATCTGCTTACCCTTCCGGAGCACCTGAGATCACCCCCAGTTTTTGGTGGGGTTCGTGTTGCTTAGTCTTTGGTTTTCTATGTTGTGTCATCTGTACTATTATTAGTCTGTTTGTCTTTTTATTTTTGGCCATGGCGTTGTCAGTTTGTTATCGATCTATGAATTTGACTGTCCCTCTGGTATCTTTCGTCCCTCTTGTGTCACTGTTAGATTTTTAAATGCATTTGTTGACTTAATCACCATGTGAAAAATTCATTGTAACTTTTCTTCCAAATTTTTGAAATCTACACACAAAAATGTAGGTATTGAAATAAAGAGATGGGATGTGGTATGATTGCCAATAAGATACCTATGGTCCAGAGAATGTTCACCATACTTATTAATCATATAATAATCACATTATACATGTATCATGCTTATATAAAGTAAGGAGATGTGGAAGGATTCCCAATGAGACAACTGTCCACCAGAGTTCAATTGAACTAAGCAATTATAGGCAACCCTACAGCCTTCAATGAGTAAAACCCCACACTGTATAGTCAGCTATAAAAGGCCCTGACATGAAAAATATGAAATAATTCAATTGAAGAAACCAATGTCCTAATTTATAACAAAACAATTTATAAACTTTATAAATAAATA